GTGTGATGCAAAGAGTCTACAGTAGTGCTGAGTGTCTAGTAGAAGAGGAAGGAGTCAAGTGTATGTGTGTCTCCTGCAGAGTGACGCTGATAAATAGCTGGCCGTTTGTGTTACTTAATGACTGCTGAGCAATTACACTGCACGCTAGTTAAGTGCCACAGCTTTCCCACCAATTCACACACACAGACACGTACACACACACACACACACACTGGCATGAAACACATACCGGCACAACTGCAGATATGCAAACTGTATCGCAGTGTGCATGTACAAACATAAAAGAACAAGTATGGATATACACATGAACAGCCATATACATCCACAAAGACAAAGGCACAGTGAGCATGACACCCCAGCAGTGACCAGTTAAAGGAATATTCTGCCGCAGGAAATGGAGCCACAAATTACAATGTGAACTCTCTCAGGGCCGGTGAAGAAAATATGTGTAGAAGTTTCGGTGGGGCGCTACACAGCAACACACACTACTACCCACCACAGCAGCCCCAAATCACCAGCTAGGCTAAATGTCCACCTTAAAATACACATATCCGTCATTCCAGGAATGCTGCGGAAAAACAAGGAGGGGCAGAAATCAGTGTACTTATGTACTATGTTTTCTATTTCTATCTATTTGTTGCTCCTGTCAAATGGACTAAAGAAGGCAGAGCTGTTTCAGCAACTTTGGCTGGTTAGAGGACAAGACGGGGGGGGAATGATTCTAATTTCGCTTATTTATAATGAAACTTTTAGTCTTTAGCTTGAGTTGAAGTCCAAAAAAATCCTAAATCTTCCACAATGCAGTAAAGAGTTTTTATTAATTCCTCACTGCCAGCTAAAAGCTCATGTGCTTTAAAGAGTATGTAATGACTTTCAGTTATAAATGTATAGTCTCCAGGTCTGATTAGCTTATTGTCTCAGTCTTGACAATGCTCCACCAGATCCACAAAAAAATATTACACTGTTTTAACAGACATAGTTATACTAACCCGGAGTAGTAATTTAACTTTGTGTGTGAAATCAAGGGAGATCAGGAGCACCCCTCTGGAAGGATTACTAATGGTTTTCTAAAACACAGAAAGCTAAGAGTGACGCAAAGTGAGCTCTCATTCTGCTGGACTCGTATGCTTAAGCAAATATTCTACATGCAAGGGCGTCACATACATCATCATTTTCTGGCACAGGCTGACAGTAATGGAATCATTATGATATGATATCATGGCTCATGATATCATACCTCATCCTCAGCGTCACTGTCCATCTGCATCAGTTTGTAGAATAAATGTCAGTGACTGGTGCTCTGGTGTTCGCCCTCTGGGTGAGTCTGCCTGTGTGTGTATGTGATGTGTCATCGATCAGTAATGGACTGTGATCTTGTTCGCAGTCGTATTGATTGGTGCAACATGACACGTACACTGTGCGACTTGTCCTGATGTCAATAAAAGTGTGTGTAGCCAGTGGGTACAACACATTACATGTGACTAAGAAAAGAAACCAAATCCACAAGTGTTCCAGTGTTTTCTGCTTCAAACTAGGCTACACTGGAGTGGCACGGTCCATACACCACTGCAGCTAAAAAAAAATGTTTGTGACACATTTTCACTTGGCTTATCAGGCAATGTGTAAAATCTGAGTTAATGCGCCTTCAAGTTTTCTAAAAAAGCCCATGGCGTGCTTTTCTGTGTTTTCTGACTTATCTACAATGATGAACCATCATCTGAAACGTGACTGAAAGCTCATAAAATGATGTGTACCCGTGTTGCTGTACTTCTATGAAGAAGCAACTCTGTTTATACAGGTTGTGAACTCTCGCTCACAAGACGTTTTTTCTAACAAAATAAAGTTTTACGTGATAGTTTAAGGATTTCCCTGAATGGGCATAATCTCCAGGCTTTTGCACGTTAATGTATAGAGTATAGAGGGTTTTTATACACTAGAAATCAATGTTCACAGAATGAAAAACACAATCCAGATAAAGGTCTGAAGTCAGACTAACACCTGCAGGCTGCTTTTTGGAGCTGAGCAGCTGGCTAGCAGTGTGACCAGCTGGTTGGCTGTTTGCTAACTGAACTCGCTGACAGACTCGTCTTTTTGAATGTCACGCTGATGCTTGCACTGCTAACTGGCTGACAGACTGCCGATCCATTCACAGTTCTGGGAGCTGATGGTTTTTATTTTATATTGTACCAGAGTGTATCTTCTCAACTCAAATAATTGCTGTCCTCATATCTTTGTCATTACAGAACTGCAGGATTTTTATTATTTATTTTTTTCACTTTGAGAGTAGGATGCTACAACTGCAGAGGTCACACACAAACACACAGAGAATTATTGTTATTAAGCGCTCTTACGAGGGTGTACAGCAGTTTGAGGTTCTCAACTCAAAGACAGAGTTGGAATGAAGAGCAGGAGATTTAAGAGAAGGCTGAGTGAAAGCAGTGCTGTGTTCACTCTGAACCCAGGAGAATTGAGTCTCCTTTCTTTTGCAGTCAATTGGTCATCAGACTACATGGAACACATGGTGTACTGTACTGCCACCTACAGTAATAGGAGATGGTGTGTTCATTTTGTTCATAATTTTGACTAATCTGAAGCTCTTCGGACCAATTTCCTTCCATCATTTTATAATCTTACAGACTAAATAGACACCTTTTAAGATTTACTCACAAAAGGCTTTTAGTTATGTAAAATTCCTCCAAGAAATGTTTGCACTGACCCTGGTTGCCAATTCCAAGAGAGAGGTGTATCAATGTTGATTCGTTTTGACCTTATCTAATGTTATTTCTATTTCTGTTCTGTGAAGGAAACAAGCTAATGGGGCAGAATTTAGACATCAAGCAGCTCTGGAAATGAGACCATCCACGAGGAAACTGACAAGAGGGGAACCTCCACAGACACATCCATCCTACATGTTTCTTCTGGACACATGGTAATCGATGACCTGACTGTACTAAACAATGCACGGCTCCCTGCTCTGACACCATTAACCTTTGAGCTTTTCCTTCAGGATACAACACAGCACCTGTGCCTCCTGTTGCTGTTTGTGCATGTGCACGTGCATGGATGTGTGCGTTTTCATCCACAGTGGAAATGCAAACACACCTGGACTACCAGAGCTGACAGGTACACTTACACACACACTATGTAATACCTGGGGTATAGTAGCTCCACATGTGGTCAGCACACACACACACACACACACACACACACACTGCTGACACTCACAAACCCAATATGACCAAAGAAATACACAAAAGCACTATTTATGTGTGCGTGCAGGTTGAGTGTGTGTGTGTTCAGTTCACACATGTGCTCTCATGGGAAGGACTGAGTTTGCTTTTCACACCAAGGTGTCAGCATCCAAACATATCAGCTAACAGATGGAGGAAAAGAAGGGTGGCTGGAAAGAAAGTGATGCACAGTCAGTGGATGGAGAAGAGAAAAGATGATGAATTTAAGTGAGAAAAAAAGCACATAGAAAAAAATGGGAAAGCACTGTCCAAGTACCTAGACAGGACAGTTTTACAGTAGAATCTACTAGTCAGTAAGTGAACTCCGATAAGTCACTGATGACACTTGGAGGGAAATGCACAACTGAATTCTGTATTGAGGTGTTATCTCAATAGATAAACCCTAACTTCCCCAAAAAAAGGGTTCCAATATTGTATAATATAGCCGCTTGTATTACGAGGTTTGTGAAGATGTTTTATCTAATTAGAAGTTCCAGAACAAACTTTACACACCAATACATAATGTTTCTTGTGGCATATATACTGTATATTCATTTGTGTGGCTTGTTAGAGTTTTTGAAATTTTAATTAAAGTAAATTAAATGAACATACAACTGTTTTTTTTTGCAGTAGAATAAATCAAAGTTCCCCACATTTATCAATGTTTAACGGTGTTTTAAAAAACACAGCACAAAAGCTTGATAAAAATACACTTGAAATTAACTCAATTATGATGTAAATAAGGCACTACCTTATTAAAAATTAAAGCATTAAAGTGCCCTGTGGCAGCTTGCAGTACTCAAGTTTTTATTTGTTTGTTTAGTCACTGTTTGTACTCCCGGTGTATTTGGTTTACATAGCCTGTCCGAGCTCAAAGTATAACTTGTTTTTTCAACATGTACGCTGTTGCTCAGTGCGTATTTGTTTCTGATGCCTTTAGATTGCCTTTTAGATAAACTATACTGTGTAACCTTGAAGGTTTTGACAGTAATATAGAAACTGTGAATCATACCATAAAAAAGCTTAATGATGTTGTGATAACAGAAAGCTCACCTCTCAGTCATCACCTCGCTTTGACTGAGGAAAGCTGGGACTCAGGTGGTGATGCTGTGACAGAGGGTACACAGTGGCAGCCTGTAGGATTGATTTAGCAGTGTTATCCCTGCAGCCCAGAGGCAATTGTGTTACCGTAGCCTAAGACCTGCAGAAACAGCTGAAATCTATTTCAGTGTCTCACTTCAATAAAGGTTCTTAAAAAATTGTCTTAGATTTTACTAAATATTCTGCTAACTAAATATTTAGCCTGAAAAAGATTAACAAAGTGTTTATTCTATAGTTACAGTCTTTCCATAACAGGGAGGAGGGTTTGGGATTTTTAATAATTAGTTGTTTATTAGTAATATTGCTTTTATTTATTTTTTTGACTACAATACGTAGTGAACAGACATGCAGCTAGTTTACTGACAGTATGCCAACCAGAAGTGAAACCTGTTGTGGCTGTTTCATGCAGGACAGTGTGCTTTTGTCTTTATATACAAAGTCCCTAGAATACTGTGAATGTGCTAAATCTATGTGCAACTATATGAATATACCATCTTATGTACACAATGGCACGGTAACAAAAATACTTTCTGTGAGGCACGTCTGTCTTTCTCATACACTTCCACAAGCACAATAATTCAGTATTTGTAATAAATAAAAATAAAAAAGGGAGAGCGAGAATCTGAAGAAGTTATTTGCTTTAAGTACCAGCACATTTACTGTTCCTACCTTAACATAGTCCGCTGTGGTTTCTGGGCCGGCTGCAGGCTCCCTGGGGAACACAGACAGAGACAAAGTCCGGTTTAGAGAATACATCTTGCTACAGGGACTCAACCTCCTGCGTCCTTGATGGTGATCTTCACTTCACTTCCACAAACAAAGAGTAAACAGTTACACTCTTGGTTTCTCACTAGCTCCGTCTAGAAATACTGCTGAGCTGTTTGGGTCCAAATGGTGCCAATGCTGATTATTCAGCAGTCTGGACACTGATCAGCTCTTTTAGGAGATGACAGGGTTCAGTGCAGATGTGGCACTTCAAAAGATCCCCATAGATTTCACTGGTCCAGGCACAGTGTCCATATTAGCCATAGTCTTGACCAAGAAAGTACAGCAGGCAGAGAGAGAGTTAACAGTAATGGTAATGTTACTGCAAATTCAGACGACCCCACATGGAAAAGACAGAAAGCTGAGAGAAACTGAACCTTACACTACACTGCTTTCTCTCTGTCTGTCTCTCACTCTCCCTCAGTCAGCGGTAAACATGTTCATTCGCTGGCTGCCTGACCTGGCCTCCCTCGCTCTCTCTCCTCCCCCACCATAACACACATCGCAGCCACACGCCTAACATTCTGAGTCCACTGACAAACTCACACAGAGGTTAGAGCGTGCACACACACACGAAGAGCACCACCAGCATTTTTTAAAAATTTCTCTTTGCATTTTTTTTTGATTCACTCATTCATCTAAAAACGGTTCACAGCCACATCAGACAGCAGCTTGCCATTTTTAGCCTGCATCTCCTCATCGGGCTCTGGCTACATGTCAATGTGCTTTTTTTAGACACTTGTTTAAAGGTCTGGTAGCATCATCAGGCATTCTATTTTAGCATTGTTTTTATTTGGTGGTTCTCAAATTTTGTTTCATATAAAATTTGCCACTCCACTATTCTCAGTGCCTTGAATATTGGTACATGGCACAGCTCAGGGCCTCTCTCTACAGAAGACTTGTAGTCAGGGGCTCAGTGAAAGAGGTAATTAGCTGAATTCTTTGGCTATGTTAATGAGGTTGGTAGTTGAAATCCCTTAAGCCTGCACCGGTGTTCCCACGGGAACATGAGCATAGCACATTACTTACCAAACCAAATAGGTTCAGCTCTAAGCCCTCTCAGTTTTAATATGGCCCAAAACAATAAGAAGGATTTGGTTATGTAACTGAACAGAAGCTTCCATTCACAACAATGTATAGTCATTATTCATTATTCATAGAAGGCGGAGTACTCAGGCCTCGCTAACATCCACCTCTATTGCACATTACGTTTGTAGAATCAAAGAAGCGCTGTATGGCAACTAAGCACTGCAAGAACACTGCTCACAAAGAGTGGGCATTTGTTGTTTTCCCCTATATAGTGAGTGATCAGTGACAAGCTGTCATAATTTTGCTCCTTAAAGCTAGGGATGGGATAATATATTGAAAATTGAATATAGTGCAACACAACTTCATATTTTTTGTAAATAAGATACAAGTCACTATATCTGGTTGTCGTTCACATAATCATACCAGTGGTGTGTATCATGATTGAATGAAATCATTTACCATGGATTGAATCATATCGAGAGAGAAAAAAATCATATTGTCACATCACTACTAGAAGCTGAAGATGAGGCAGAGAAAAGATGAAGAGAAGGAGAAGAACGAGGGATATGTAAATAAGCTGAGACAGTCAGCTGGCCACTGCTGCTCGACCTTAGGACTGAGCCAAAACCATCACCACACCAACCACCTGACCCTCGTAACCCTGCCCCGACTATCCAGTCTTACTGTAGATGGGGTCAGTGGCAATAAACACATACCAGGCAACACCCATACAAAACTGTCCCGGACCTGAATGTACTACAACAGAGGGAAATTCCCTTTTCTCCTCAGGCAGGTCAAAGGTCGGGCTCACAAAGAGGGAAGTAGCCCTAGAGCTGATTCACTGAGGAGTCCGCAAAACTGGAGAAAGACTGTTCAAATATCATTTGAACTCAACGGCCAAACAAATACAACCCTCCCTCCAGTGCTCCTTCAGAAGCAATGAAAAATAACCACACAATGAACAGTTAGTGAGGAGATAAAAGGTGTAGTGGATTAGAATCGGTTACTGCACCTTTAAACCCAGCTCATCGGGTGAAGGATGATTTCTCCACATCCTGATGGATGTTTTTCACATTTTGAGTCTTCCCTGGCAACGTATACTATGACTGACTACACCATTAAAAGAAACCAAGTGTGGTGGACGTGAAACTTCCAGACCCAGCCATTCCAGACTAAACAAGCTGATGAGAACCAACTTCGCCTTTTGAGACCCATGTTGCTGAAACAGCAATAGACACTGGCTTTTTCTGCTTCTACAACCACAAAATTGACCTGCAACACAGGCAGAGAAATGAAGAAAGAATGGAAGCCCATAAGAGGACAAAAAAAAAGGCAGGGCAGAAGCTAGCAGCATTGGCCACAGGCTTTTTCTGGCTACTGGTTTTCTTTGTGCCTCACCACACAATACTCAGCACAACCACAAATGGCTTCAGTTTGGGACTTCGCCATATTTGTGTGTGTAGGACAGAGAGAGAACAAAAGAAGGAAGAGACAGAAGGAGCAATGGAAAAAGCAAGATGTGGGGCCTACAGGCAGCCAGCAGGGGGCAGTGTTTCTCTAGAACTAGAAGAGAATTTACTGTCAAAATCTATTTTATAAATCTGCTCAGGTTTATGCTTCATATAACAATTTTAGAAGTTATTATGCAAAAAATTAACAAATACAAGAAAGACTTTACTATTTTGTACTAAAAGAAATTTTTTTCTTTTTCGCCTCCAGCTCCTCTGATGGTGGTCTGTTGAGCTTCCCACAGAGGTCAACAGATAAGCTGACCAATCAGGTGCTAGTGCAGCATAAGGTCAGGGGTCATAGTTCAGCTGACAGCATGAGCAATGCAACATCAAGACCAAATAATGAGTGGTTACGCACAATAAAGACACACTCTCTCATCTTTTTATAGTAAACTCAGCTGTGAACTGTGCGGTGAGCTGGGAGGAACCACTGGGTGCAACATCAGTAATCATTCTCAGTAGGTTTTCTTTCTTTACTACTGTAAATAAGAATGTGCAGATAATCCACATGGGCGTTTATATTGAAAATGCAGCAACTTTGAGATGAGCAGAGATGTTACTATCAAAGCCTTTTATTTGAATATCTGAAGATTTATGAAGTTACAAAAACGTTGACTTCAGGTTACAGAGCTGACTGGCAGTAAGTAAAGTAAGAAAGTCTAACAACAAGATCACTAAATATGGAGATTTTGGGGTAAAAGACCTAATCATACCTGTTGTCGTTCACATATGGAAGCTTCCTTTGTAGTTATGAGGCTATTAGCAGGTTAAATAAATAAAGCACGTTACTTTAATCTTCAGACAGCTTGAAGTACATGGGTGAACATCAGCTGCCACAAACCAGCTATAGAAAGACGTCTCTTTTGCTGGTGATGCATTTTGATGTCATTTTCAACTCACTCAGCTCATTTACACAGACTCCAACAGAAACTACTTGACTTATCTTATTCTGCCGACAATTCAGAAGTAAGGAGGAGGAAGAAACAATACCCATCGGGTCCACAAAAAAGAAAAAGCAAGTATGATGAGAGACATTTTTGAGCCACCTGTACAGGCTGAATGTGACCTGACAAACTGTGCTGCTGGATGTCAGCAGTGTATGAAATGTATCCAGCACAGAGGCAGAAAGACAAAGAGCTCACAGTAACCTGTGATCTGTCCTGCCACACCCTGACCTACAAAGGTAACCCAACTGCTGGGGGCTACACACACACACACACACACACACACACACACAGAGAGAGAGAGAGTTGGCTACATCAGATACAGTCTGTTGTAACTCTACACTAGAGATAGAAAGATGGGAGGACATGATGAGGGATGAGTGTGTGCTGTCTGTCTGAAGATGAGCTAACTGCTACAGTCCCTCAGGGCTCTCTTCACAACCAAGCATTTCTCCATCTAGCACCAAACTTAGCACCAAAGTTTTTACTCTACAGCGTGGGCTGTAGAAAAGTCTGATAACTATTTTTTGATTTTATCTTTTTACTTTAGCTCTGTCTCAATGCTGCGATCCAATGTACCATAACCGCTGGGAAATAGGCCTGCAATTAAAAACAATTTTGCTGCAAAACAGTATCTATTATTTCTTTGAGTGTTTTGTTTTCCAAAGCTCAAGCTGATATATTTAAATATCTTGTTTTGTTATGTTACAATATTCAGCTCACTATCAAAGAAGATTCATGTTACATTTAGAAATTTGCAAAAATTCCAGCTTGAGAAGTGGAAACTAAAGAAAACTGTGTTAACTAATTGATGCCTGAATTTCCCTCGAGATCAATAAAGTATCTATCTCAACTGAATTGTCTTAGCTCTACTGTGAACTCAGTCTGATGGCAGCTGATGTGTTGGCGGCTAAGCAAGCACCAACGATTTCAGAGCATCAGATATTGCATCAGCAATAAAATGACACATTTACCTGTAACCATGAAAGTCATCAATGATATTTTGAACCAGCGGAGAGGTCATGGGCTGACAGACATGCCCTGGAGCCAGTGGTGTGTTCTCACAAACTAATGGCTGTGTGCGGTTGGCCCTGGGGTCCCAGGTGTAGCTCCCATGGGTGAGGCTGGTCCCTCCTCTCTTACGTCGAGGCAGAGTCCCATGAATGGAGACTGGCTGATAGGCAGCAGCTGGCGGCTCTAACGGGCTGGTGCTTTGCGCTGGAGAGAGACTGGGGAAAGGAAAAGAGGAAGAGGAGGGAGAGAGAAACCAAAGAATGACTTGCTGAAGTAAGCTCAACTAAATTAAACAGCCTAAACCTTAGAAAACATCCCCATCCAGATAAGACTTTGTCTTCATGGTATCCCTTACAATTCTACACAAGTACCATTAAGGAAAGTGAAATCTGTATCAACTTGTTCTAAACTTCATTGATGGGTTTGATGCTACTTAGGCAGAAAATATTTAAAGGCCATGTGTGTATGCTCAACATCAAATAGAAATTATGATGTCTTCAATTACATCTTCAACATTTCCTTAAATGCTTCCTTAAAAAAAAAAAAAAAAAAGGGGGAGGCAACAGTGGTGCGGTGGGTAGAGCAGTCGTCTCCCAACCAGAAGCAAGTGGCTTTGTGATCACCAGCATGATAATCTAACAATATACCAGAATTTGCTAAACCTGAGTTGCCTTGCAAAACGACAGTAAAGAAATGCCAGCACACAGTATATGGGCATGTCTAACTTGTTATTTCAGTCTGACCCAGATTTCTAGCAGGATTCTCTGAGGATCAGTTTTACTGATCTGAGAGCTGCTTTGGCTACATAACTCACCCGGGTCGAGAGCTGAGGAGGTCCATGGAGGAGGTGAGGGAGGCCTGCAGCCTTCTGGAGGAGCAGCTGCTGCCACTGGGGCCACCAAGGGGGGTGGAGGGGACTCCAGGGTGTACCGTGCCTCCTCCCAGGGTCTGGTGTGTATGGAGAGACCTGGGTAGACTCGCAAAATGCCCCTCTGTCATCATCCTCAACTCTAGGGAAAAAAACACACACACAAGTCAAACAGAGGTGACTTCAAATGGTACCAAAAGTTTAAACCTTTGTTTTTAGTTGATCTCAGTCTTTCCGTGGGCTGAATACCGTAGGCGTGTTCATGCACAGATAGCTGTATTAAGGTGATTAATACATAAGGTAATAAGTGAATTAACCTCACAACTTAAAGTTCCTCCATGTGTTATAATCCAACATGCTCAAAGAATCATAAAAGAATCAGGTAAGACAAGATAGAACTTTGGGATGTAAAATTACTGCGTGTAAAACCTGCTGTAAAGACAAACACACACACTGACATGAAATATTATGATACACACAAAAGAGACAGTGTAACAAGTGCCTTCCCTTATACACTCACATGACTAACACACTCATGTGCTCTTACACTATGCATATAAAAATACACACTAACACGTTGCCTGGAGGGAAAGAAATCTTGCCATTACATAACATCACACAAGTACTTTCAGCCAGATCATGCAACTCTAACTGCACTATGGCTGATTTTCTGATACTCCTTTCTATAATCACAAATACAATCTGCTGATTTGTTGTTTAATTGAATCAAATCTCTTGTGAAGATGTTCTGCAATTGAATTAAGATCTCTGTTTCATTTAAGGTTTACCCCACAAACCAAGGATAACAATCTGGAACAGAACAAGGAGACACTGCCCTCCACATCTTGTCCTAGACGTCCTTTTCCAGTGGCAACACTGAGGAGAGCATACAGCCACTGCTGGTCCGTCTTACCCGAGGAGGACTGCCAACACTGTGAGTGATGTAAAATAGCATTCAGATGCAATTATATGGGCTTAAAGCAAAGGATTAAAGTCTAACCTATTTATAGTGACTTTTACAAATTAAATACTACAGCCCCTGGTTGAATTATAAATATTGCTCCTGCCAGTTCTGATAGGATGCTGGACTTCAGCTTCCTATTAGTGTTTGTGAAAACAGAGGTCTTAACCTCCGCATCAATTTCAGGCAGTATTTTTACTCTACCATTAGGCAATGATTAATATGTTTTATATTCCAGCAAGGCTTTTAAAACGGCTTCTACTCCAGGCTTTTGAACACGTGTAAAGTAAAAGCTAGAGGCTACACAACCTGTGACAGACAAACTGATATAAATACACATAAATGAATAGGACAAATAGGTCAGCAGTGATGACAAACACCAGACAGCTTCCTGATAAATTCCCCGGCTGCATGATGATGAGTGGACTGCATGCTATCATCTGCTCCAAGTCGCTCACCACACAGCAGTTAGTCATACTGTACAAACTAAAATACCATCAGTGACAGACGTGGGCAGACTGGACGGTAGGAGATGCTCACTATTTCTAATCTAGGAATCTGACCTGAATAACTACACACTGTAACTATGTGTTTACGACTGTATTTCAGTTTGAACAACCTGATTGTGATCAGAGAAAGTAGGCTGCAGAGTAAACTGTGGGGCTTTGCCAGATGCAGTCAGCCCAGACGGAGGGCACTGTGATCAACATGACTGCTGATGAAATAAACCTTATTTTGAAAGTTCCACAACTTTTCACACAGAGTAAAGCTGACAGAGCAGAGTGTATATCCAACCAACTGAATTAAATTGAAATTAATCAATATTTAAACTAAGAGATAGTCATACAGCATTTACCAGTGTACCATACCGTAACAAAAGCTATTTATAGTGTAAATACCAGATTGCTTGGTTGTCTGCTGTGTACAGCCTTCTTCAAACCAGTCCACAGGTTTTCATTGACACTGTAACTGAAAGAGGTACAAGGAAACTTGCTCAAGAGCCATGTAAGAATCCAAAACAAACAGCAGGGGACCTAACAAAGTCCTTAGAGGCAACTGGAATAAGAGTCCACATCTCCACAGTCAAGCATACTCTGCACAAGTCTGGATTGTTTGGGAGAAAAGCAAGCAGGAAGCCATTGCTTACTTTTAGACACAAGTCAGCACGCTTAGAGTATGCTAAGGAACTAAACCCAGCTTTAGCAGGGGACCATGGAGTCACGATTGTTATAATGAATGTCAATAAAAATACAAATACAGGCTTGGGGAAAGAACACCTGGCTAATTCAAGACTTTCAGTGTGAAGATTATACACACACACTGTAAAGGTCCTGCTAAGGCATGCTGGCTCAGAATGTGGATTCCTCTGAGGGGCAGAACGGCTACAGGAGGAGGACCTATGATAAGGCCCGCAGGGATGGTCATCTGTGTGTGTGTGTGGCCCTGACCATCTGCCAGACACATACCCCCTCCTGCAAAGGAGAAAGGGCAGACTCTTACTGAACGATAATCAGACAAAATCAGCACTTAGGCACATTACTAGTTTGTTAATTAATCTCATGACTACACTATTCATGCTGAGAGCTACAGAAAGTTACCACATGAGAATTCTCATTCATTCTCTTTGTTCTTTACCTCTCCTCTCTCTACCTACACCTTCCACACGTACTATCACTCCTCTCTCCTTTTAACTGTCACTACTCATCCATCTTTCCTTTCTTTTTCAACCTTGCCCCCCCACGCCCCTCCCTTCTGTCATCATGATGCCTGCTCCTCTTTTTCCCCTCACTTTGTCACTTTCTTTCAGACCTTTGTCCTTCCAGCTCTCGTAATAATAACCCCCCCCCTTCTCTCCTTACTACAGCTGTTCAATAACTGGTCACTTCGCCCTGCATCACACACCCACAAAAGGATTCTGACATGTACTACACCAAGTTTATCAGTTTCTATATTGGGACATTATCACACATGCACCATGTTGTGCTTGCTTCCAGATTGTTTACGGATTAAGCTGACTAATTCCTAGGTTTATTTGAACATCAGCTACTTTTTTGAGTCACAACATACACCTGCAGTAATTAAGCATGTGTGTTATAGAATTATTTGCTAACTTCCAAATTTAACTTGCTACTTTAGGCCAGCTAGCTTAGAAGCTAGCTAAGCTAGTAGCTTAGTTGAGAGCAGTGGCTTCCCCCTCTTCCTCTCCTTCTTTCGCTTGCTAGGAGTATTGCATGTTCAGTTGTTCCTCTGCCTCCTGGTTCCTCTGATACTGGTACTTGTAATAAATGTCAGACAGTGTCCCTCTAAAACTCTGTATGGAACTCTCTTGGTTGAATCATCAGTATAAAAGATGAACTGTTAGAAAAAGTTGAAGTCACAAGCCTGTGTACATAAAGTTGTAGGCACTTGTGGGAAAATGCTCTGAGAGGATGCTTTAAAAATAAAAGCCATGAATAGCTTTTTATAAGTTGCTTAACTTCTTACAGAATAAACAAGTGTACATAGTTCTCCTACGTACACTTGTGCACAGTTTTTCTTTCCGAGATAACTTGTTCCAGTTATCTCGGAGAACTTCCACAGTTTTTCTGAATATTTAGGCTGTCTCAGTGTCTTTTGTCTCTACATGTAATCCCAGACTGACTGCATGATGTTGAGATCAAGGCTCTGTCAGGACCGGGGCCCATATTTATCAAGCGTCTCAGAATTACTCCTAGGAATCGCGCTGTGTTATTAATTGTATGTGAAATATCTCTCCCCCTGGTGGAGTCTGCATGCTCGTCTCTGTCTGAAAGCCACCTCTTAGCAGCTCCCAACCAGTTAGGACACCTCTGGAGCTCTCCTACATTTTGTTGGAGGCAGAAGTGATTTCCTGATAAACTCATCTTCTTTCTACTCATAAAAGAAGGACCAAAAATATGTTATTCTGAGAATCATTTTTTACATTGAGATGCTTGATAAATTCAGGCCCAGACCATCTGTCACAGAACTCCGTGTTCTTCTCATCTCTGAAAATAGTTTGTTACGACTATGTCTGGGCTTGTTGTGGGGCTGCAGAATGAATTTGTGAACCACTGTTGGCATGATTAGCACTGGTGGCCATAACAGTGACCTATACTAGTGTTAAATTCTCCATGCACATTCTGTATCAGTGTTACAAACTCTGACTGGCAATGTGCACAACACTTCAGAGGAACTAGCACTTACTGAGAATATCATTAAATGGGAACTTATGGTGGAAAATATTTCTAGAATCATGGGCTTCTCCTGGTTTGAAACTAACTTTATAATGGACACCTGCCAACCAATCACAAGTATTTTTCCTTGACCATGATACAAAAGACAAAATATTATTTAGTGAGGTTTGCTTCGTCTCCAACGCCAGTAAAGGCCTTGGACCGAGAACACCTCCACACACACACAGGCACAAGACCTTGGGTGGGAAACAAGTGCAGATTAACAGGAAGGGGAAATGGCAGTATAAACATTTAGGCTGCAGGCAGCTCATTATAAAGGATTACTGGCTATGCAACAAGTATTTCTCTCCCTTCCCTTCCTCCTTTTCACCAACTATCACTTGAACTCTCTCGCTCTAATTTTGCCACACAAGATTTAAGAACATACACATCCCTAATAAATTACACTGAATTTAATTTGATGTTTTGATACTAATTCCTCTTGCTCTAACTAACCCTACACATCACTCAGAAGTCAAAGCATTGTTAATCCACTGCAGTAGTTTTAAAAAAATGGGGGTTTTTAGGGACCACCGGTACTTCTCAAGAAGTATCACAAGGTCTCAATTATTTCTAGTGTGTGATTGAATTAATCATATAAATACAATGGTTTATAAAGTACATAAGATGAAAAACACACACCTTGAATAAGTAATTTATACATGAAATGGAGTTTGAAGAGCAACTGTCCAATGTTGCTGATCTGCCATAAAACACACACACACACACATACATAATAGGGAGGACAAACATATCAACAGGCTTGGGAATGAGAGGTTTCCTCTAGCTGGCTTAGTGTCTTCCTGCTATGGCATGCACACATACAAACACACACACAAACACAAGTACATTAGCAAAACCACCCCTGGCCAGAAGTGAACAATGGGATCAACTGTCACATGACTGCTGTTTAGAGCCAGCCTTTGTTACAGAGAGACAAGGAGAGAGTGAGGTGTCCTACTGCGCTCTTCACCGCGTGGGCCCACCAGAGTGTGTGTGTGTGTGTGTGAGAAGTATGTGCGTGACATATTAATGAGGCTGTTATTAAATCCCACAGCAGTAGCTGCCATATAATACTACTGAATCTCTGTGTGTGCTCATTTTCTGTCTGTGGAAAAGTGTGTAAATGTGTCACTGTCCACCGTACTGTGAGCCAGTCAGTCACACCGAGGAGAAGTCAGCTGAGTCCATCAGTGGGGTCAGAAGTGTCAAGTTTACTTTAAAAAGTACCACCTTGTAAGGCAAAGGCCTTACAATAAAAAGCAGATATCTATAACTTTGGGAAATACTTGTAATGACGTTTGAACTATAGTGAAGATGGCATGGCACCCAGAGTTTCAGTCATTCTTGTTTGTAATCTGTTTTCTTTTTACAATTAAAAAATCCTTGGCCAACCTGGAAACATCCTTGAAAATGTATTATTTGCTAATGAGCATGCGACTGTTGACAGTTTTGTGATACAAGTCACTTCAGGCCAACTTGTGTTTGTATTACAAAGTTAAGTGCATCTTTCCTGATGTCTTATCAGCACCCCATCAAGCAGTCAGCAAAAATACATTATCCTAAAGGAATAATTAGACTTTTGGGAACTTATTTGCTTCCTGGTTAAGACTCAGACGAGACGATTGATACGCTCTCATGTCGGTACATTAAGTCTGAAGCCAGAAAACAAAAAGCTTAGCTTAGCATAAAGGCTAGACACAGGTGGAAACAGCTAGTGTGGCTCTTGTTGGTTACACTTTGTAACTCCCTGTAAAAGCACAACTTGTGATTGTGATTTCTGTTGTTGGAAGGATTACACAAATTATAACATACATTTTAGAGGTGCAGGTACGCAGAGTCTAACTTTGGACAGAGCCAGGCTAGCTGTGTTCCTGGTGTTTCACATAGGCTAAGCTAACCTGTCTGACTTCATAATTAGGATACAGATATGAGAATGGTGCCAATTTTTATTCCCTTGACATGCTAAAGAATGTAAAAAAAAAAATCCAAAAACTCAAAATGTTGAATAAAAATAATTTTATCTTTAAAGTAAACATACTAATGCCCCTTACAGACTGCTACATTATTGATAATGATGCTGCAGCTGGTTTAAGTGGTGCCTCAAATGTCTACTTTATTAAGTATATTGCTGGAAGGTTGGATCTGCAGTCTGAGCTTAAACTGTATATTTTGTATATGTATAATCTTTATCTGCAACATAAGGGTATCAGAGATTCCTTCTGACATTTAGCCAAATTTAAAGTGGTGTTGCTCAAGTTAAGCAGCAGTGCCTCATAACTGGACTTAAGTAAAATACATGAACAACTCTTTAGTCAGTCAGACTTTGTTAAGACCAGCAGGTTACACACTGCTGACGGCAGGCTGAAATGCCAACCAAGCAACAGAATACCACACGCACAGCCACTGAAAACACATGACCATCACAGAGTTAAAGCTGAGCTCCTTGAATCCAACACAGACACGTTTCAGCTTTAATTACAGGTTGAATCTCACTGGCTCAGTTCGACTCCACTGCAGGATTCAGCTATGACACCGACTCATGTCTGAAACAACCCGCTGCATGTGTGTTTATCTGTATGGCACACAACACAACACTACACACTTGCAGATGCACACATACGTCTGTCATTATGTTGTGGGTGGGTTGCTGTTTAAAGATGTGTTCTCATAACTGAAAGGCCGGAGTTTGTCTATACAGCAGCCACTCAACCTGTCATAGGGTATCCTGAGCAAGAAAGTGAAGACTTGTTTTATATTATTACAAGTCACACATGACGTTGTCTGCTTGTATGAAAGGAAGTTATTATACTAGCCCTGATAAGCATGCAATAAATGTGTTGAGACATTTAACTGATCTGTATATAAATACATTTTGTCAAAATATCAAAGCTAAGACAACTTTAGTGATAAAAATAAACAAACAAGAAAACATCTTGACTTAAGAAATAGCTCGGGACTTGTATGACATATTTCATGTAATTATTTCCTGATGGGATTTCCACAGTTAGCACCAGTATTTCCAGCAACCACAGTTACATCCAGTGCCTTGGGATGGCAAGATATTGCACAAAAAGTCTCGGAGATAATCTAACTCGCTGCAAGCTGTAAATAATTCAACCAGATGGGATGGAGTGAAGGACGTGAGCGAAGAAGAGAAGGCGTTAGTGTGGTAAAATAAACAGCAGCTACAGTAGAGTAGATGATGAAAAGTCAGAAAGAGAAAAAGATGAACAAGATAGCAGTCTCATGTCTGTCTGCCTGCTATCACAAACTACACACACCTACTGTAAATACCCTTAGTGCACAGTCACAAACACACACATTCATTCGTACCTGTCAGAGTGGCCTCTTCTCCTTTCTGCAGTCTTCGCTCTTATCGTTTTGTTTTATATGCCTCTATTAAAATTATTCACTTTCATAGTTCCTTTGAATGACTGACTAGCTGACTGACCGACCAGCTGGGAGACTATACACTCACGCTCCCTCAGACAGGCAACAGCAAGCAGCGCTGCACAATCACAAGTTCTACTCTCCTCTTTCTCTCCCTGGGGAGTGATTTGCGAGCACTTAGCCCCTCCTCCTTGCTCTGGAAAGAGTTCTCTTTCTGTTTCAGCCAAGTTGTCTCCCGCCCCCCCAGCACCAAATAAAACTCCCGTCTGCTCGCTTCTTCTCCACCTCCACCTTCTCTGTGTTCTCTGCACAAACTATATCACATGCACTGAGTCTTTTTTTGTTTGGGACCTCTTATACCGACACCACAGACCGGTCAGGTACTTAGAGAATATTGCCATCTGCTGAGAGGGGCTGAAATAAATGATCTCAGCATGGTTGTGACTTGCTGACCAACTTGAGGTGCATGGAGTTTTTGCTTTACTCAGCACTGGCTGAAACATAAATCAACTCTGGATCAGAAGTTAAATTCTACCTTGCGTTTATAAGCCTTCAAATACAGAAGGAATGTTGGCAAAGATGATTAAATTTCATCTAAGTGAAGCAGATGAAACAAGTAGAAGAGCTCTACTTGTGTCATTACATCAGGTATGAGGTCATGTTCAGTGTGTGTGTGTGTTGCCTGGCCCTCAGGACAACACTCTCTCCTGTTATTGTTCTCCTGTTCAGCTGTATTGTCTAGAGTTGATAACACCCAGACATGTGCATGTGTGGGGGTTTGTGTGTTTCCTTTCAGACAATATGAGCCCATCCTGCCACTATGAAAGGCTAGATGACCAGAGGGCCAGCGCTGGACACACGCACACACACACAGACGTAAGTCTTTTGATCTTAATCTATTCACACTAAATTTGTTAAGTCTGAGAAAACCACTGAGCTGCATGAGGGTCAAAAAGTCCGTGTGATAGTAAAGTAAGTTTTAAGGAAGGAAAAAGAAGTTTCAGACCTGCTTCTGCAGTGTGCATGCTTGTGCTGATGTGGCCTAGATTGAAGTAGATATTAATGCTTTGAGAAGTATTTATTTTCTGAAATTTGGAAACACAGCAACAGCAGAACACAGTCCAGTAGGTAGCATGTTAATATAAAAAAGAAAGAGCAGTGAACATCTATTAAACACTGATTTTCTGCTCTGGTTTACTGATGACTACCTCCTGCAGTTATGTTGTCCCATTTAGCTTTGCAATAGAGTGTGCTAACATTTGGCTTATTTCCAAAGAAGTGCTTCAGATTAAATGGTTAAACATCAGGCTTGTTTACAAACTGTGCAGTTGTCTGGCCACTCCCACTTCCTGCCTTTCTGACAAAGATCACAGCTATTGTCTTAGTGAGTAAAACCCACAACAAAATGCATGGGGTCCAAATTATTTATTTTCATCAGTATTATTGTTTTATGGCAGTGGTTCCAGTCCTAGCAGTTGGGGCACCCACAGGGGGGTCATGAGATGTACATGGAGGAGGTGGGAAGGGATGGACTAGGAAACAAATGTCACAATATTATAGTTTTATCTTTTATCATTTTTTTTCTTGTGAAATATGGTATAGTTTTCGCAACCTACACTTGCTAAAGCAGTGGTCCCCAACCTTTTTATCACTGCGGACCGGTGAACGCTTGACACACAGACATGCTGGATTCACCTGGTTTGTTGACAAATGGGTTGCGGATCCCTTCCTTGGCAGTTCGTGGGTCCTTTGTGGTTGGGAAGTAGCGCTCGAACTCTTTTAAAAGCAAAGACATGTGATCGTGCACCAGCTGGGAGAATGAAGACTCAGGCTCAGTCTCACCCAAAGTCTCATGTTTGAAACATGTCCAAAATGCCTCTGTTGACGCGCCGTCCCCACAAATCCAGTTTGGCTTTAAATGCAGCTACTTTATCTGCCAACTTGAAGACAGTTGTCATTTTCCCCTGAAGTGACAGATTGAGTTCATTGAACAGGCTGAATATGTCCACAAGTAAGCCAGTTTTGGCGCTCAAGTGACCGCATTCTCTCGGTTACATCTCGGTCACTCGGTTATTTTTTCAAAATAAAAGATCGTTCAGACTCAGATAATAAATAAAACGGAAATCATTAATGATTTCTTGTGCGGCCCGGTACCAATTGATCCACGGACCGGTACCGGTCCGCGGCCCGGGGGTTGGGGACCACTGTGCTAAAGCAATATAAAAAGTGAAAATCACAGCTAATGGACGTGCAAGCAGTGGTGAGGAGTTTACCAGCAGATTTGGCTTCACATTAAGGTTGTATTTTTATTCAAATTCCTTCACATTTTCAGCACGAGGTCCACAAATGTTTGCCAAAACTAGTTACTAAGGGAAGGCCACGTCACTGCTAAAACTACAACTAGCATACTTCTAACAAACCACAGGACATAATGGTGAATTGACTCAGTGTAATATAAAGATCATGAGGCATTAGGTAACCATGATCTAATCAATGACATTGTTGTCTATTCATAATCACAAATACTGTGAGCAGAAACACAGCCTGAAAGATAAAACCAGCCTTAGAATCACTCCTGAACTGCTGCGCTATAAAAAAATATCCAGCCAAAGCAGAATTTTATTTTTCCCCTCTGTAAGGCTTGTAAAAATTCCTGCAGCTTCGTGTGTGTGAGGGTGATATTTTCAGGAAGCTGTGCAGTGAGTCAGATGTGTAACCTGTAATCATCTCCTGGATCACCTGAACCCCCACCATACCACCATACCAATACAGCCATTTCCTGTACTTCCCGTTAATGCGAATCCCCAGGCCAAGCCGTCCTCCGCCACACTGACACTCAGGAGGCAGAGCGCATTGGCACAACTCCTTGCTGAGTCACTCACTTCCAGACACTGACCCCCGATCTATATACAGGCGCCAGTGTTTCCCAAACCATTAAATAGATGGATTTGGCTTCCCCTCCTACTGGAGCTGCCACCTGTGAATAACTGGATTTGGCTGTTACTGGTTGATTACACTTGTTAAGAAATGTTTGATTTGGTTTCTTTACATGTAGACTTTTCTAGTATTCCCCAGAAGGAAAATATGGACTGTGCCACAAAATGTTTTTTTCCAATTTCATCCTCTCCTCGCCTCTTCATTTTTCTCCCCCTCATTCCATTTACTCATCATCTCCCACTCCCTCCCTGCTTTTCTTCATCTCCACTCCCTTATTCCCTTTTAGATCTGTAGACACATTTATGTTTCTATGTGCGTTTCTGATCAGAAGCGTGTTAAGTGTAAACAGTTCAGTGTCTAAGCCTCGTTCCCTTGGTTGCAGCCTCAGGGTGTTACAAAAATCAAAACCTATTAGTAGACCAAACCTGTTTGTTCAGGTAGAATGAAATCTACATGTTCTGATTCATGTTATCATGATTTCTGTGGAATATCAGTGTGAACAGCTGATCCACAGGAATCTTGTCAGTTATTGTCATTAACCTCAAAATGATGCAGATTTTGACACGAGCATCACTAATGAATCATAGCAGCTTGTACATAATGTGAATCTGTAAAGGCTGCAACTTATGGTGGCCTAGAACAGTTGTAACAAAGTGATATAAATTCTGGGCGGATTCTCCTTTAGTAACAGAGTTACTGTAATGTTTTTATAAGGGGCAATATGCAATGTTACACATACCACTGTATTCATTTAATTATTATATACTGCACCAAAAATAGCAGATTGGGCAAGTCTTTAGATTTATTTTGTCAGTTATTACTATGGATGTAGGTGATGTTGACATTCACACAATGGAGTGGAGTCTGCATGTTCTCCCTGCATGGGTTCTCTCCGGGTGCTCCGGCTTCCTCCCACAGTCCAAAGACAAGAAGCTTTGGTTGACTGGTGACTCTAAATTGCCCGTAGGAGTGAGTATGAGTGTGTGTGGTTGTTTTTCTATGTGTCAGCCCTGTGATAGACTAGTGACCTGTCCAGGGTGGACCCCGCCTCTCGCCCAGTGTCAGCTGGGATAGGTTCCAGCCCCCCTGCAACCCTATTCAGGACTAAGCGGTAAAGATAATGGATGGATGTTACATGGTGCAAAAAAAAATCCTGTAAATTGCAAAGTTTGTTTGCCCTCTTTTTAGCAAAATTTCTTAAAACTTTGCAAAAGAGAAAGGAGGCTCCCCAGTGTCGCAATCCTCACTTTTTCCTTAAGTATTTACATTTTTTGGATGTTCTTATGTTTTTTCAGTCAAAGTCCGGGAACTGGATCTTCCCCGTCTTGAAATACAAGCGATAACAGTAGAATGCTGATAGCTAAGTTCGTGAAACAGGACGATGTTTATAGCATGTGCAGTGTTAACTCTAGGTCATGTTGATGAGCTTATCACTTCTTAAGAGATTATCCTGGTTCAGCTTGTAAATTATCTAATATGTAAAGGTCATGAAGTAAAAAATAATCATCTCTGCACACAAGCAGAGGTTAACTGTGCATAACCCTGACAAAAGTTTAATTCTGTATTTTTATGCATTATGTTAATATGACATTAAATGTTATCCATCTGCACAGAGATGCTGCTGTTGTTGCTGCTGCATTGAAGGGACAAAGGGAAAACGGGAGGAGGCTGATATAGTACAGACTGAATTTGAGATCATTTCATTTTGGTCCTCGCTTTACATAAATGCATTCATTCTTTTGACACCGATATACAATAGATCTCAGATATTAATTAATAACTCTCAGCTTGTCAAAAATGCGGTCTGTATTTGCCCCAGAGGTTGTTAACTATAACTAACAATCCGGTCAACAGAAGAGAAAGATAATACTAGCAGGTCCAAATGTAGAATCTACATTGGCTTTAAATTTGTTGGGGCAGGTAAATGGGTGAATGAACATCTGCCTTTCATAATGTCAGATAAACACTGAGCCACCAACAGCTCAGTGATAGTTTGAGTCAGTCACCAGCTGTGAATGTGTGGAATTGTAAACATGAAAGAGAAGATCTATCTCTGATCCACAAACCACACAACTGCCCACACAACAACTCTGCCACCATGGCAACACCACTTCCCACCAGGGACACAAACAAGAAAACAAACTGTCTGCATTAAACACCTGCTCGCTCTCTCTCAAACAAACACAATGGAAAACATGTTTAGCATGGCATAGTGTAGCAGTATTCTGTCAGTGTGTACTGTCACATTGCCTTTAAACTTATCCCCACATTAGTGTTTGTTTTTTGAAAGGTGATATATTCCTCCACGCTATGAATACATGGCATCACAAACAGGTCACCGAAGAGCTGTGTTCAAAGACAGAATCCAGAAAAACCACTACTATCTGCTGTGACAGTTCTAGCTCCATGTGCACAGTGTAAGTGCCTGCCCTTCCTAAACCCTTGATTACAGTTGTCTGATATTAATCCTCTTTACATTACTCAGATACTTATTTAAGTAAATACATTGAGAGGGAACTTGCATATACAATCCACTTGCTTTGGCATAAGGGGTGTCTATTTGGTGAGCAGCAAACAGGAGTCTTTAGGGAGTTCAGCATTTTTGACTGGAGAACTGTGTTTAATGTATGTAAATGCTGCAATTTTTAATACTCTCCAGATAAGCAAAGCTAAAACAAAAGCTAAAAACAGAGTGATGATGTACAGCATCAGTGCCAACGGTTAAAATGAGCAAAAACACATAAGAGCAGAAAAGGAATCATTCACCACCGAATTGACTTGAATTCAGTCAGTGACACCAAATTCACCTATTTAACTTCCCTCTGCAACCTCTCGGAGCAGAAAACATGAAAGCTTTCTTTCCCACCGCTGTCTGAATGCTAGGGGTAGCCAGATGTGTCTCATGATGTTTGATTACAACTGGAAAATGAGCTTCTTAAAATAAGTTTGCAAAGGTACAGAGGGAAGTTTACTGAATCTAAAACAGCTTTAAAAAGTATTACTTGATTTCATGATTGCCGTATGTGCTTCAGTGTAGATACAGACAATGGACCACTGTCATTTTAATCAAGCACCAGACTGCTACTTAGCATCAATGCTAATAAATGTGGTAATAATCTGACATTTCAGATGCATTTTGAACTTAAAATTACGATTCTAAGGTTACAGTTAATCTTTTGAACATAATGAGCATCCACAGAACAGCCTCAACACCACAGCCAACAGCTGTAAACATAACCTCAAACTAAAATACCTCAAATATGTGAAATACGAGTGAGTGACTACGGGGTTTACTGATGCATCATATTTCACCCTCTAATTGGAGCATCTTTACTTTCAGCTGCATTTTAATCCCTGTCATTGAGGAATTTAACTGGCACACACACTCACACACACACTCAGATTGATGTTCAAGCCATTTAATCCTATACTGTAGCCAACGAAGAGTAATATGATGAATGAATATGTGCCTGGACAGAGTGTGTGCATGTGTTATATCCTAAAGCTGCTCTCACTGGAATGCATCTGGGTCAAATGTTGAGTTGGCATTTTTGAAAGACGCTGCATGCGTGTGCTGTGTAGTGTGAGTGTGTGTGTGCGTGTGCATGTGTGTAAAGGACACCGTTAGCTGAACAAATCTGGCTTTTGTGTTAATGATAGGGGTGGCAGAATGCCAGGCAGACAGATAATACCACAGTAGCTGGTGACTGAGTGATTTCAACTTGAGGCTGTTTCACCTCAGCAACGGTTCTCAACCTGCAGGTCGGGGCTCTACTGCTGGTCACACAGTGATCTCACATCGCTTGTTGTGATGTTGTGTTGGTGGCAGTGTGGCATCTCTAGGTATAGATATTTTTATTATGTTTTTACCATCCGCAGGCAACTAAATGTCAGCCATCTATCTGGACACGTCAAGGAAAGCCAGACTTTAGTACAGAGACAAGCTGAAAATTCAAAAACACAAATCACAAACTCAAGAAGAAGAAAAAATACTGAAGTAGAAAACGATAAAAAAAAATTGAAAACAGTGGTAAAAGATTTGCCAGTGCATATATAAAGCGTTTCTGAGTGTGTAATGCATAGTAGACAGTAAAAATCCTATTCATCTCTTTTCATATTATGGCTCATTATTTGTTATCATAACTTCAGGCCATTCAATTATAATATTATACATTTCTGGCTTGTTTAAAATGTTCTTAATCACAATCCTGAACGTTCTCTGGATAACAAATGGAAAATACTAACTGATTCACTACTTTGCTGAAACGTATCTTGAAATTATTTAGTTGTTTGTTGCTCTTGTTTATTTTATTCTTTTTGCTTTGCTTTATTGTAAAGCACTTTGTAACCTGGGCTTAGAAAGTTGGTATTTAAACAAGCGTTGCTTTTGCTTGCTTTGCTAACATGGAAGGAAAATGCTCCTCCAACATTTAAGCTTTTTGTCAATCAGTCATCAGAGCTTTTACAATTAGAGGGTTTAAGGCTAAAATGTCTACAGGCTTTTCATCTCTCAAACATGTTACATGTTTTTATAAAGTATCTGAAACCCCCTTTTTTAAAACTATTTTTACTTCGGATTTATATGGCTTCAAACAGTTTAATCGTCTCAACACTCCTATAAAAGAAAGGATTGGTAATAAATTAGAATTTGGACAAAACTTAGCATCTGCTATGTGGTGCTCTGAATGACTTGTTTTCATATTCGACACAGCTTGAGGGCTGTTTTTGTTTCTAAGGACACTCCACTTCAGATGGGCCAGCAAATTGCTGGGTTAACTATGTGCTTCCTCTTTTTGGACTTGTGCATCCTGCTGTTATTAAAGCAAATGTGATGCATTGTTTCAATTTAGTTATTTTGCTCATGCAAACAGCATTTTTGATGTTCTGCATTCATCGTTAGAAACAGCAGCACTGGTCAACAGGTGAACTCTTCCTGTATTACACAGTAGTGCCTGAAGGTTAAATAAAATCATTTCTACACTTGGCATCAACTGGACTGATGTACAGCTAAGTCACCAAGACAACACTTGGATTTCACAGTATAACGCATGGGAAACTGAGCAAACAAAGCAGCCTGTCACACACACACACACAGATCTATACACACATCCATGCATGCATACACACACTGCTAGAAGTGATTAAACCCAGCAGGACTGCAGGCCTCAACGCTCTCCTCACTTACTGACAGCTTTGGATGTCTTCACATTTGTGTGTGCATGTGTGACACAATTTTATCCTCCACCAGACAACCCCCCACCACCAGCAGAAGACCCCCCCAGGCCTCAGCATGTCTTTACATGACACTAATGCTATCCGTCTCCATCTGTCTGCTCTCTAGGTACACCAGGAGACTGACTGAGAAAAGGAAACTTGGGGAATCAAACAAGAAGCCAGAATCAACAAGCTGATGGAAGTGATAAGGAAAGATGTTTGCTCAACCATGTATCTGTGTGTGGGGGTGTTGAATACCTCTCCTCCTCTCCCGCTCCTGGAGGAGGCGTAAAGAAGTGAGAAGGTGCAGGCGGTGGAGGTGATTATGGACACCAAGCTCCAAGAGGTCATACTCTGAGAGCTGGAACAGGTCCTGGAAAACAAAAACACAAACAGAGTTAATGTGACGTTGCTCTATAAAAACCTGTGAACTTATATATCTGAGCAATAGTTTATTCAACTGTACTGTAATGTTAACTGAGAATCAACAGCCTAGTGTGCAGCTCCCTTTAGCTGCCTCCCTTCTTCTGTCTGTCCCCCCTTCATATCCCCAAATACACTGGCCAGCCACTTTAACAGTCACATCTCAATGCAACACTTCCGCCTTAGCATCTGTATTTATGAACCTCAAAGTGTTTCAGCTTTTTGGTGAAATTGTCAAATGTATAAATTCAATTATATGTTTATTATTGGACTGGACTACATTACGTATATTCAGAGGTGTTCCTAATATTCTGACCCTCTCATTTATGTAGCTGGGGAGGACAAAAATATAGAGAAACCACTGATGTATTAACGTAAATGACCCCTGAAAGAGCGCAGTGAGGGAGAGCCACAAAGTCTTTAAACCAGAACTCAACCTTGTACCATAATGGAACAAGACAAAAACACACAGGCAGATGCAAATGTCACACACTGTGTCATCACTCCCCGCTCCCAGCTCAAACCAAGGCCTTGTTGTTTTAGTTTCTCAACAATATGGCCATTCTCGTAGTTCATCACAAACACTGCTTTATTTAGATCATACAAACATACAGTGGGAAACCCCATGAATACACTCGCACACATTCATGTACACCAGGCAAATCACACAATCAAGTTACAGTCACATACAGCAACCACACACACACACACACACACCTGAAAACCAAAGTAGCCAACTACACAAGCAACACACAGCATGCCCATATGGCTGAGTGGTTTCAGCAGGCGCCTGTGTGCAGATGCATGTTGGTGTGCGCAGTGTCCATAGTTTGAATTTGGCCACAGGTCTTTGTTGCAGGCCTCCCCTTTTCTCTCACTCTCACAACTCACTGTCCTGTGTGTGTGTGTGTGTATGTGTGAGACACAGCTCCCCCTCCCTCTGTCGTTCTCGTCTCTCTCATGTCCAACAGCAAGCTGACATGTTTTCTCTGTTCTTTTTTTTTTCCTAGATCATGCAGAGCTGAACAACTCCATGACCTCTCATGGCAGTCCTGCGGAGAGCTGACAGAACACTTGTGAATGTTGGTTTTGACTGTGTGAATGTTGTTGCAACAGTGAAAATGCAAGTGAATGAATGGCAGAAGAGATGCAGGGACCATTTTGGGCATTAACATATTTCCTCATGTGGCTGTAATTTTTTAAAACCTTGATTTTCTGTGACTCTTCTGCCTGCAGCATGGACACAGTCTAAAGGATAAGGTGGGGCTGCAATAGAGAGCACTAGCGCCACTGACCAAAAGCTATATATTCAGTGTGGCTTTGGGTAGAATCCCTGGTGGGGATTTTGTCACTGCTTTCTATACTTGTGTGTGCTTTGTAAGTCAAAGCCAAGTGACAAACAAATATGTGCCACTATATTGAAATGAATCAGAGCTAGGAGATGCTCTTTGGCATGCAGCTGTTGGGAGCAATACTGACGCTGACTGAGTTGGTTTTACCACAGTGTTGTGTTAACAAGCAGCCTGGATGACTAGGAGGCACTGAGGCACACGTTGTCATAATATTCAGTGAGAGGTTAGCGACTCTGTGCTGAGCTTATTATACATGGAGGCTGGTCCGGGATGGGTTAGAGTTTGACTGGCAGTTCTTTTAATCATACCTACTGCTGCAATAAATCTGCACAGGTATGATTAAAAGAACTGCCAGTAGCTCCAGTCACCGGTTTCACACATATATTTTTAACAACTTAGAGAAATATTCCTGTGAAGTGAAGAAATCTGATTCAGTACACAATAAAAGTTACCGGTAACACGTAGATTTAATCTCAAAGTAATTATAACTGTGGAATTTTGAAGTTTTTGTGTATGAAGAATTTTTTATCCATTATGGTTAAATGACACTAGAATAACATTCTCTTTTCACCTTGTTTTGTCTGTACCTCCTTGTCACTTTCACCTTTTCCCCCATTCTATGCCTTTGCTAATTACACCAATGCCTTCTGGGTAAACATTATAAGAAGTTAATAAAGTAGTTCATGTCTTATTGGCTAATCAATCTCCTCTCCTAACCAATGGTCATGTAACATTCAGAATGAAGTGGCTGGATGGTAAAACAGCCTCCACACCACTGTCCATTCAGTCGAATGGGCCTGTGATGAAGTTTTATTAGGCTGTTATGGGGAACGCTCTTAACAGCAATTCTCCTTCCAGTGGGCTTTGCCACACTAAAAACATGTTCTTGTAAAAGATTGTTTTATCACATTTTTACTGATCTACCCTTCCAAAACAGATGTGTTAAAGCGTCAGTTCACCCAAATGACAATAAACTATTTTCAAACATATTCACATTCAGATGGTGTCACTGTTATCTATTGAATCCGGTGAGTGTCTTTTCCTTTGCTGTGTCTGCACTGTATTATTAATGCCACAGCCTCTCATGACGAGAACCTTCTTGCTAAAAGGATGCCACTACTCCGCTCTGTCCCCTCCTCCACTCCTACTGGCATCAATCTAGGTGCACTGCGACTAATCACTGAGATGTCTTTGGGTGTTTTAAGTTTTCTAACTGGAAAGCAATGCAACGGTTTTAGAAACTTAAAACTGCAGGGTTTTATATGATTTAAAACAAAATTTACAGGATTGACTGATGGTGTTAACAAGCTATACTTAACATTGATAAACAGTTTCCAAAGGTTTAAGTACCTGTGTAAAATGGTTTTCTTCAGTCTCGGACAGATGATTTGTTGATTACTTTGTGACTGGTTCCTGCGACCTAGGTAAGAATTGTCTTAAAAACAGAAAGCTGAAGATGTTGTTTGTGCGTGTATTACCTCTACACCATCATATTCCTGTTCCAGCGCTGTGCAGTATTGTGGCAGTCCCAGCTGGCTCAGCCACCGGGAGATAGACTGGTGCTTCATGGTGACAGACAGAGACAGACATGTATTCAGATGGAAACACACACTGGCACTTTCTCCTTTCAGATGGGACCTGAAACAGCGATAGCATAAAGGAATCAACTGAATTTAGAACAAATAGTCACTCACAGTATTATAATCTGCAAATCCCAAAAAAGAAGAAGATCAGATTTATATGGAAATAATGTTCAGATTCAATAGGAAACAAATTTCTATTGATTGATACAATGACTTTCTCTGCTATGTATGAATACCTGTGTGTTGTCAAGTAGTGTTGTTAGTGTCATTGTGGCCTTTGTGTCTTGTGTTACATGGGTGTCAGGGCACACATACATGTAGGGGATGTTGCTGTCATTATGTTTTGTGTGTTTGCATTCATGCACGTGTCTGGGGACATGTCTTTGTAAAGTCAGGACAACAGGCAAAGAGGCGGTGACTGAGCATGTGCAGTGAGACTCACAACCCACCCAATTATATTAGGTGACGTCACAGAGAGGAACATAATGTTGCTCACTGTCACTAAAGGTTAGTAGACATCACCGCACACAAAATCAAATCAGTCTAATGTACGAGCTTATTATGATGTAGATTAGAGGAGCCATTCATACAGTATATGGACTCCTGCAAGTGTCTAAAGCCTTTTCCCCGATCACCCCAATGGGGAAATGGAGGTCATTTTGAGAATGGATAACCTCTATGTCCCACCAGCCATTAGCGTTTACTCAGTACAGCAGCAGGCATCAGAACAAGCACTTAATTCAAGGTACTTCATCTTCATGCAAAAATCCAATATATAGATACTGTACATTTTCAAATTTGTACTTTAAATGTACGTCTCTAAAACAATGTCTGATGTTTACAGAGAACAGAACAGAAATGGAGACCTGTTATCTGTGTGTGTTGCCACACTGTAAGAGCAGTGTTACTCACTGTTAGTGTGTCATGCACTCTAGTGCACACACATTATCAACAGTACATACTTGGAGAGTCATTGGCATTAATGGCCTTTTCATTATGGTATGTTAGATCCACTTTATGCTAATTTTGTAAATATGTACACTAACTACTTTTACTGCCCAGTTCATCCATCAAGTTAAATCATCTTCCTAAATACTACTGGAGAAGAACCACTGTAACTTGCTAAATAAACTACTGTTGCAACTAATGCTTATCCATTACATCAGTTGCATTGTGTATACAGGATGTATGCTAAAGTTTATCTGTATACCCCCCACTAAGTAAATGTTGACCTTTTCTGAGCAAAAGATGTCACTACTGTTCCACTGAAAAGAATATTGGACACCATACTGTAAGAATGACTGAAGCTGCTAGTTTTAAGTAGTGTCACAGTGTGTTCCTATAGAGTTGCATAAGTTATACTGTTTGTTTTAAAATGAGTAATAATGCCTAATTTTTGGACCCCAGTTTTTATAAACATAAAACATAAATGAACACATTTTACTATCCAGCCACAGACACACACACTTCAATATACTGTACTTTGCTCACCAGCCCATGTCACAAATTTAAAAGCATTTCAGAGGAAAAACAGCCCACGTAACAGTTCCCTCTGAATGAGGGAACCAAGTCTGCTACGAAGTTTTAGAATATAATGATTCTGGTTAATTGAGAAGCTTGTGCAGCAAAGAGGATGAATGAAACCTGTGTTGGCTGCTCGGCGGCTGTGTACAGCTCTCGATACCAAGAGCTTCCAGAGCATCTTTCAGCCAGATGATCCTTTTAACAACGCAAACTAGTGAACAACTGCATGACATTTAAATGTGTTGAAGCTTTTCCCTGATGTTGTGAGAGGTTTCCACAAGGCTCCAAATGGCTTGGTGAAAAATCTTGAATGATCACAAAACCTTTCCAGACATGTTAATAAAGACTGAGATTTAATCTGAAGACTCAGTCAAAGGAAACAAGTTTAAGGGAAACTGCTTGTTAGACACAAAAAAGAAGAGAGAGAAAAAACTATGCACTTGTTGCATGTCCTTTGGGGAGGTCAGATATTCTTTTCTGGACTTAAAACCAAACACTGTATATCCTCCTAAGACAGGAGCTGCTGAGTAGGGATGCCACCAATTGGCCAAAGTGAAAGGCTTCATCATGTGTAACCCTTCAATTCGTGTCCACATTCCCAATAGTGCTGACAGGGTGAGAGCAGAGGTCAGCACTGATGAGTAGAAGACAAGTGAGCAGTGAGGACAAGTTCAATGTCAAAAACCTGAACTTGTACTCTGTCCCTAGAGGATTCTTCTTCCGTCCAGAACAACCCAGCCTCCCACTCCCCTCCTCTCCCTGTTGGTTTGACCTCAGCCGTTTCCCATGACCACATTTCTCTACAGCACCATCATGGTGTTCATTTTATTGTAGGAATATAAATAGAAGAAATTCCAGCATCCCATTTAATTAATGGTCTAAACACGCCTGAGTATGTGACAAACACTCAACAAATACCAAAGCATGTACGGCAAACAACAAACCTAATGTCCAGAACAGCCAAGACAGCAGAGGACAATTTCACCCACTCTCTTTCTCTCTGTCTCTCTAATGCCTGCATTGGCTGCCTTTTATAGTCCAAGGGCATCCATTTTGCCAATCACATTAGACTAACCCAATCCAACCAACTGAATTAAGCTGCATCAAATGTAAATAAATAAACATTTAGCATATAACAAAGTTTTGAAGACAATATAAAATGACCATGTAGTTGTGATATAAAGCCACTGTAAGTCAGTGGAAAATGAAGAATTATGGTGATACTGTCCTGTGTATTTCTTTATTTAGCAGATGATGTGACTGAGCCACATCAAAAACAAGAACTATATAACTATTATGTTTCCTTCTGTGCTCAGTGCAAATTTGACCTGAGCACAAAAATGAAGGGAGCACTGTGACCTCTCTATAAGGCATTAATATGAACATTTGGTGCACATGTGCATACAGTATGGGAGCTGAGACTAAAAACCATTTCCAGAGGGGTGAATGAGATCGTTAGCTTCATGAAGTTATCACACTATCTGTTACATGCGCGTATCAATCATGGCTTGTAGCTAAGTAGCCACACAGCAGCAAACATCTTGTTTGTGTAAAATGCTAAATGACTTTCACTGTCTGTGCTGCAGGCAAAAGGGCTCCAATCACACTGCACCACAACATCTGCAGTTTTCATTTGCTGATTACCTTTTCTGCTTCCTTGGGTATTCAGATAAAAGTGTCTCTGTGTTTCTTTTACAAGCCCTGAGGGAAACAGGAAAACACTTTGGCAGTATAATTTAACCTCATAAAATCATGCATTGTAGTATAGTGTCATAGTGAAGTGGGATCGTATTATTATGGATCTGAGTAGTGACATCACATGTCCAAAGGTCAGATCAGAGCTCATCACTCTCACATCACTAGACTGACAAAATTAGTCTGACATTTTTGATACAACTAAGATTTATTTCATCCTAAAATCAGGTTTGATCAATCTTACTTCCAACTCCAAAATATGTTCAGTAGGTGTGAGCCAACACATTTCTGCTTTACTACTTGCAGCTGCCCTGTCAATGTGCAGACATGTACAAATCGCAACTAGTCATCACTTGTATGGAATTCAATAATTTTATTTGTTTAAAATTGGGGAAATCTTGGCAGCGTGTTTTGAGCATTGAACTTGAAAGACCTGGCCATTTCAGGTCAGCTTTCTTGGAAATTTGAATGACTAATAATGATTTCCTCTACTCCTGTTCTGAAAATGTCACTGGTTTCATGAATATTTTATCAGATCATTTGTAATGTCCTTTTTCAGACAGGTGTTATGAACCAACTTTTTTTGAGAATCCATGCTTTAAAAATTGGACTTATCAAATGTAAATGATGTTTGAGATTAAATGATTACAGCCTGGTGATAAGAGCTCAAAGACAGGGTGATGGGAGAAAGAGAGAGGAGGTATAATTTGCATGACTCAGCTCTGAGGTAAGGGCATTCCTAAGGAGAGCTGCCTGGCTTCTGCAGAGCTGCGCTATAAACGTGCAAAAAGCTTAGAAGTACTGTATAACAGTTAGATCATCTGAATCCCTTTTGGTTACAATAAAAGAATCTTTTTACGGTATTCACTGCACGGTGTAACTCTGTTTCATGCAATCCCATCCCGAATCTTAAGTGACAAGCAGGAGCTCTATAATGATCTACAGTATCTGAAAGTAAATTACTAGAACAAAATGCAGCCTATAAAACATATGGGCAAGAAGTTAGCTTCATGATGCAAAACAGGTTTGCTTTAATTTTACTTTGGTCCCAAACGCCTTGACGTTTTCCCTGATTTGAACTGGCCACCGAACACTTTCAAGTTGCAAATCATCAGTCATTAACACCGCAAATTCTGCACCCTGACAAATTAAGGTCGCGACGGTTACATTCTTTAACTACTTTATAGCATTATAACTGTTCATAAATCACACAGTGTCCACCATTTAAGTGAAGAATAAACCTTACTTTGCGAGAGCTGACTGGCGACAGAGACGCACAGGCGGAGCGGCGGACTGCTGCATGCAGTCTGTACGCTGGCTGAGGATTGCAGAGCTGATGTGGGAGACCGGTCGGACCGCTGATTGTAGTCCCCTCCTTTTGGCACGTTGGGCTGGTCACTGCAAAGTTTTAATCTGCGAAAAACATCAACTTGAACTGCTGTCGAAAGCCCAACTGAAGCCTACAGAAGGCCATGGCCCTAAAATACCTGTCAGCACAGAGGGAAGGAGGGAGGGATGCTGCCTTTACGCGCTGAGATTAAACGCAGCACATTCAATTATGATTCAGAATGGCAACAATAAACGTGACGTAAAGGTGGTAAGGTAACAGAACAAGGAGGAGTCACTGTAGCTCAAGGTAACGCAAATGTGTTGTTATTTATCATCCGAACAGATAAAGGGTGTCACCTGTTGGGGCTCTTTCACAAATGTGACCCCCTGCATTATTATTGCTCCAGTGCTAAAACTACTCAATGCCACTAAAATCACAGTGGAAAAAAATGTCAGCTTCCCTTCAGAATGTAAAGCTGTAATTTACTGAAGTAATGTTAGTATGTTGTTCATGTATCCTGGGGATTTTAAATTAATATAACCCCTGTAAGAGCTTTAGATTGCCAACACGTAAGTTTTAAAAAAAAAGAAAAAAAGATCCTAAACTTCTCCAGTATCAATACCATTTCACACCAAACACATTTGCTTCATTCGTTACATATATTTATCTTTGTTACTTTTCTGTTACCGTCAATCCTATCTTTACACATCTGGCCACCGTCCTTTTAAACTAAAATACTTACTTCTTAGAGGAAGCTACAAAATAAAGGCCATACAAAAAACACCGAAAAACCTTGTATTGTAATGTGCCCCTTTGTACATGCATTTTTTTCAGATTGTTCTTGTGCCAAATTAATGTGTTTTGGCTTATCATTTGCATGTGCAAATACATTTTGTGTCCTAGCTCCTTTTTTGACTCATTGTGTGGATGCACAATGTACATTTGTACATAACAAATTAACTTCACGAGGGCCCCAAAATGTGCTGGATTTTCAAAATAAAAGCCATTAATTGCAAATTAGGCTCACATGAAGGCCCCAAAGCACAGCAGCGTTTCAAAATAAAAGACCCCAACAGCAAATTATGTTCAAATGAAGGCCCCAACGCATGCCAGATTTTCAAAATAAAGCCACCTGATTGTTTCATCGCCCACACAAGGGCCCCGTGACATGTCAGATTTTCAAAATAAAAGCCCAGATTGCAAATTAACTTGGCGTGAAGGTCCCAAAATGTGCCAGATTCTCAAAATAAAAGCCCAGATCGCAAGTTAACCTGAAAGCCTTTTTACAAATTGAAGCAATTTTATTTCTACTTCTCATTTTGGCACCACACCTTCAACTGATACTGAGATGCTTTTAAGCTCTCAGATTTTTTTAGAGAATTCCCAACTTCAGCTTTTGATTTAATCTTGCATAATTATTAACCTTTTTCTTTTCATCTTTCATAAATAGTCAACATTTTCTCAACTTCCACAGTTGTTTGGCATTGCATCTCATCCTTCTGCTATTTCAACAAAGAACTTCAGCCATTTCTTCTCATCCTTCAGCTGTTTCAACAAGGCTTTCCAGCATTTTCAGGGCAATCCTTCAGCAGTCAGCATCCACACACATTTTCTTCAGAAAATGCATTCTTCTAGTTATTCACTATTTCTCTTTCCTCCTGGCTACACTTGTTTCCTTTCCTCCTCTCTTCTTCTATAACTGACTCCAACACAAACTCTTCTGGGTTTATCTTTCTTTGTCTTTCTCTCTTTTCTCAACTCTTCCTTATCTTTACCTGTTTTGCTGTTTCTCTCTCCTCTTCTCTGATTCTCTTTTCCAGTCTTTTTAAATTCAACTTAAACTTAATAACCAACAGATTTTTATTCATGGAAGAGGAAATGAAGATTGTTTGTCACAGCGTCTTGAATTGTGAGTGTGACTGATTTCTAATCCAGTTCACGCTGTCCAGCCGTGCATGCTAATTCCCAGCCTCCTTCATGCTACTTTTACTTCAGAGACAGTCATAATGCACATGACTAAAAGAGGTTTAAAACAGTTAAAGATGGCTGATTTTAGGCACTTGTGCTTACAGTTTTTTCAGGTCTCCTAACATCATACCTGTTTTACATAAATGTCATACTGTGCATCTCAGCAGACAGTGGTTTATGACAGGTTAATTGGCTGTGTAAACACGAACAGGAAGCAACTGCAAACAAAGAGCTTCACAGACCTAACATTTCTACTGCTGTCACTATTTTGGGTCATGACTTGGACTTTAACACCAGTGCTGGTGCTCAAATAAATTAGTAGATTCATATTTACATGTATGAATGAAAATAATGAAAAATGAGCAGAAATTTATTTTGTATTTTATTTTTACATTTTCAACAGTTATTTATCAATCAGTTAATTTAGAGTGATGATTTATTCCTTGTTCAGACACTTTAAAGTGAGAGAAAACCGGAGCACCTGGAGTAAAAACCCACAAAGCAAGGAGAAGGAGAAGATACTCCCCACCATGAAATATTTTTTTCTGAGATGAATTACTTCCGGAAGGGCTTGCAGATGAACTTGCGCACATTGGAAAAGAACGTGCAAATTTTGCTGCTTTTCACTGGTGGCTTGATTATGTGCTTTTGGAGAGTGGAGATGATGTAATCTTCAAATGGTGTTTCATTAATACACAGTTGGAACACAGTGCTTGGCTTCCTGAATTGTTTGTAGATGTCCTTGTAGACATTTTTGACCAGGTGTTTGAGTGTTTTTGCATCATAGACGATCTGTTCACACTCCAGGAGAGCCCATATTTTATCAAACAGTAGTTTGGCGCGGATATCTGTTTGATCCATAGTGGTTTTGACACCTACTTTTTTAAGAATTTTTGAAAACAGCTTATTAATAACTGTATGCACATATTCTTTTAATTGTGTTGTTTCCTCATCATAGGTGACTCCTGTCGTTCCCTGTTCAGAGGTGACAGTTAACTCCTCCTCACTTAGCAAGGAACACTGAGAAGCCCGATTGTTGGCTATGCACGTCCTCACTATCTCCACGAACTTGTTTGCCTTAGTGCGGAACCAGTGCTTCACCCTTGCAAGGAAGCGACACACTCTGCTCCCTATTTCATCACACATGACGTTCTCTGATGGACTAACTGACAGTCTGGTGTGTCCCTCTAGTTTTGTGATGCTCTGTGATCTTAAGTCATCAACATAATCATTCAGTACACCACAGAGCTCCTCTGTGATTGCCGGGGCCTGACCACTGTGAACAACCAAGCAACCGGGCAAACCTTCATGTGCTGGTTTCTCAAACAGCAAGGTCACTCGAGCCATTTGAGACTGTAGTGCGCTGGTGTCCTTGACATGGCTGAAGAATTTTTTCTGTAGCTCTGCCATGATTTCATAAAATGATGCTTTGGCATACAGCTTGACAAAGTTCATCTTACTTATTCTGTGCGCCTCATTGAGGGAACACGTGATGGTGAATTTCTGAACAGCAGCATCTATCTCCTTCATACTGTCCATTTTAACTGTTACCTCAGCAGTGTCATCTGAGAGTATGTGAATTTCGAGGAAGCGCTCAAGTTCCAGCTGATCTGCTGCGTCCTCATGTTGATCTGATGATGTTTCCTGGCCTTCAAAGTCCAAACGGCCATTAGAGAGATCATCTGTATCTTTTAACTTTTCCGCCTGAACAATTATATCAGCAGGGCCCTCGATCATGTTGATTTCCTGGGAGGACACAGAGACCAGCTCTGCTACACTGTCGTCCACAGATTTAGGTGTGAGTCTTCTGTTTCCTGGCGTCCAAAGTCCGCATGGCGTCTAGAGACACCATCTGTATCTTTCAACTTGTCCACCTGAACAATTGTAGCAGCAGGGTCCTCGATCATGTTGATTTCCTGGGAGGACACAGAGACCAGCTCTGCTACACTGTCATCCACAGATTTAGGTGTGAGTCTGACCACTTCTGTTTCCTGGTCTTCAAAGTCCAGACGGCCGTTAGAGAGATCATCTGTATCTTTTAACTTTTCCGCCTGAACATTAGTATCAGCAGGGCCCTCGATCATGTTGATTTCCTGGGAGGACACAGAGCCCAGCTCCGCTACACTGTCATCCACAGATTTAGGTGTGAGTCTGACCACTTCTGACGTTTCCTGGCTTCTGAAGTCTGACATAGTTATGGTCTGTCTTTCATCCTCCTGCAAATCTCCTTTAACTGTGCTCATCTCTTCAGGGATGAACACTCTTCTCTTTTTACATGGCCAACATGTACAGATAGACTGCAGTTTTGTCTTCAACACATGTAGGGCATGACGAACTATGGCCCAAATTCTGCCTGAGAGACTGACATGCAGTTCGTTAATGGACTCCGCTGTGTCTTCACCAGAGGGGAGGACCGATTTTACAACTTCTGTAACCTCCTGTGCAGTCAAGGTCAATGGGGGCTCTGGTTGGGCACTGTGTGCCTCTGTTCTAATGCCAAGAACCTCATCAATAACCTGAGGGAGTGTGCCACCCAGACTGGACAGCACTTGCTGTTTAGAGCTGTGTTCAGTTATGCTTTGAAATGCCTCATGGCAGCGTTTACCCAAACATCGGACAACCTGCAGAGTCATATCTGTCACCAGGGCTTGTGTGTCCTCGTCCAAACACTTTTCCACAGCCATGTTATGGACAATGGACTGTGTCATTGGACGAAGTGTTTCCACCATTAAATCCAGCAGAGCCTGAGTCTGTATGCTTTGTTCCATTATAGCTGGTCTTTTATGCATAAACCTCTTCAATAAACTTCAGTTGTTATTTTGGTTAAATTGGCTAATTAACGCAAACTGACTTATTATGTTCTCTGTAATAGAAAGTAAGTATCTGATCAAATGTTGGAGCCACAGTGGAGCCACAGCCACAGTGCTCAGGTAGAGTGCAGAACTACACACATCAAAGGAACTATTCTTATGACATCATCAGCTTAGCAACTGTTGCTAAGCTAATGGTGAATCAGAAGCAGTACTGTAATTGGACATTTGAAAAGGAGGATAGAAAACAAAACAAAACAAAAAAACATTTAGATTGATATTATTATATGTACACTATACCATGTGTGTCTGTGAGTCACTTTATACTTTACCCTCCACACACTCTAAATGAACCAGTGGGGAAACAAAGAAGTTTGATTCCAGCTACACAGACTCTCTGTGGTAAACTGTACAATTCCTATTAAATCTCATATTATTTCATTTATTTTCACCCTTGAATCAGTTTTATACTGCTTACTGTGGCATACAGTAGTTATAGTATCTGTTGGACACTGTGCCACTGAGCACATTCATTTTAAAGTGCACATTTTAAAAGATGCAGCACCTTCATTGACAACAGTACAGTATAACACTTACACAGTTTGAACTATACGTGGATCTTTCACTCCACATTAAAGCCTCTTTATTGTGTGGATACTGAAAAGCATCAGGCTTGTTCAGAAAATCATTGCCCCTTTCAAATGAATGGGAAACTCTTCAAATCTTCTCTTTCAGCCTAGTTCAGCATACTTTCAGCTAGAAAAACCATTTGACCTTTAAACAATTCAGCAAAACTTCAGCTATTTAAACTTGTATTCAGCTTTTTGATACCTTTTACAGATTTTGAATTCTCGTAGGTAAATTTTTAGGTTGATTTAGGAAATTTCTCTGCTAGTGTGTCACATGACCTACACTTTAGCTCTGTATTTCAGCCTTTCCACAAATTTTTAGCCAGTTTTCTCCTGTTATTCTGCCAACTTTAAGCTTTCACACAAACTATACATGAAAACGGTAGAGAAAATTGCGAGGAATCAGAAAATGGCCTTGTTATTGCAATAGGATGAAGAGTTTTTGAATGACATGGCAAATTCCAGCGAGAGTGCTGCCTCACTCTCCCATAGAGTACCATTGAAAAGAACGATTCAGAAAACCCCCTCGAGGCAAAAGTGTGGATATTTGTAAATCACCACGGTTCACCATGGTATATTTGGTACCACACAAACAGACACACACACAGACAGCAACAGAGTAACACACGCACAAAATAAAACCCAAACATACACAATCAAAGCAATACAGTGACGCGCGGAAACACACACATTGGCACAGTGACACAGCCCACACACACACAAACACACACACACACACACACACACACACAGGTTGGTCTGCCTTCAAAATAAGAACCCTGCAACATTCAGAAACAGATTCAATGTAAAAAGTTTAACAACTGAATGTCCAGCTCCTTTGCTTTGCTCCTTGTTACTGTCAGCTAGTTTTTCCTGTCCTAGCAGGACATACCACACAGCACCGTCAGTCAGACCAGCACAGGTTGGAATGTGCTTGTGGTGGAAAGTTGTTATCAGGGCGTCACAAAGTCACTCTGAAGGATACTCCATATTGAATATAAGGGCCCCAGATTATAAATTGATGTGAAATGAGTGCTCCATAGGATGTCAGATTTTCAAAAAAAACCCATCAGATTGTTAAGTAAGCTAACATAAGGCCCCCCCAAACATGCCAGATTTTCAAAATAAAAGCCCCTGATTGTAACTTCAGCTCACATGAAGGCCCAATAACATGCCAGATTTTCAAAATAAAAATCTCTGATTACAAATTAAGCTCACAAGAAAGCCCCAAAATGTGCCAGATTTTCAAAATACAGGTCCAGCTTGCCAATTAAGATTACACAAAGGCCCCAAAATGAGCCAGATTTTCAAAATAAAAGCTCATGATTGCAAATTATGATCAAATGAAGGCCCCATAGCATGCCATCCATCCATCCATCCATTTTCCTCCGCTTATTCGGGACCAGGTTGCGGGGGCAGCAGTCTAAGCAAAGATGCCCAATCTCCCATTCCATCCTTCCCTCACTCGTGAACAAGACCCCAAGATACTTGAACTCCTCCACTTGAGGCAGGAACTCGCCACCAACCTGAAGGGAACAAGCCACCCTTTTCCGACTGAGAACCATGGCCTCGGATTTGGAGGTGCTGATTCTCATCCCAGCCGCTTCACACTCGGCTGCAAACCACCCCAGTGCACGCTAGAGGTTCTGGTTTGATGGGGCCAACAGGACAACGTCGTCTGCAAAAAGCAGAGACGAGATCCTGTGGTCCCCAAACCGAACTCCCTCCGGCCCCTGGCTACACCTAGAAATTCTGTCCATGAAGATAATGAACAGAACCGGTGACCATGCCAGATTTTCAAAATAAGCCCAGGACAGTAACTGAACCTGATATAAAGTCCTGGAAACAAGCCAGATTTTCAAAATAAAAGCCCAGATTGCAAATTAACTTGGCATGAAGGTCCCAAAACGTGCCAGATTCTCATAATAAAAGTCCAGATCGCAAGTTAACTTGAAGGTCTTTTTACAAATTGAAGCAATTTTATTTCTACTTCTCATTTTGGCACCACACCTTCAACTGATACTGAGATGCTTTTAAGCTCTCAGATTTTTTTTTAGAGAATTCCCAACTTCAGCTTTTGATTTAATCTTGCATAATTATTAACCTTTTTCTTTTCATCTTTCATAAATAGTCAACATTTTCTCAACTTCCACAGTTGTTTGGCATTGCATCTCATCCTTCTGCTATTTCAACAAAGAACTTCAGCCATTTCTTCTCATCCTTCAGCTGTTTCAGCAATTGATTTCAGGCATTTCAGCATTTTCAGGGTGAGCCTTCAGCACTCAGCATCCACACTCATTTTCTTCAGAAAATGCATTCTTCTAGCTGTTCTGTAAGTTCCTGCCACCTTGAGGCATTTTTAAGTAACTGCATTATTTGAATGTAAAACTGCCCTTCTGCTATCAGGTTGAACGCATTGATCTTATTGTCCATTTACAGTGCATATCCTGCTGGATCCTCTCATTTTAAACTGTGCAATTATAAGCTAAACATGCATTTCAAGAAAACAATACATATTACTTTGTAAAACTGGCTATAAAACTATTACATCCTGTATATAATTGTTTTTTTTTTTAAGTGCAGATTTGTTCAACTGTCTACTCTGTGTAATATGTTATAAATTTTACCACAATTTAGTAATTGGATCACACAAATAAATTAATTTTGGACCAGTCTTTGTGAACCTTAATGTCTCATTATATTTTTGGCCTAACCCATCCAATAAAAAGTTGACTTCTTGTTTTCACACTAACTTTTCCAGATACCTTCTACACTGCCTTTCTCCAATGCAGCTACAGATTGTCAAATGTTATCCTTTATTTCAATAACTAAATACTGATAAAGTCTTAACATTACACTAGCAAATGTTAGGCAGTTAGAGTTAGCAGTTAGTTCACTATTAGCTAATTTTTCATTTATTGACTGGTTGTTATGATAATTTTTCATTTATTGACTGGTTGTTATGAGTAGTTTTTATGTTTAAAAACATAACATAACATTGACAGAAGACAAAGAGGGCATCATGTGCCAACATGCTCAGCATGAGGTTTACGAGGTGAAGCAGTTTTAAAATTGACCCCCTGACCACACCTTTGACATTTAACCATTCAAGACCTAACTGTACAATAGACATAAGTTCTGATTGACACTCACACTGTAAACTACCTTAAATGTCGCACTTAACGTGAACCCACTTACGTTTGTAACTTTTTAATTAAAAATCATACGTTATTGCTAAGTTGAACTGTTTTTTATTTTTCGATTTTAGTTTTAAAGAGAAATCATATATAGGACAGAAAAATGTACTGCATAAAAAAACAAAAATAAAATAAAATAAAAACTATAACAGCTGACCCAACCTTATCGTTTATGATAGATAGACAGCCAATGATAGCATCGAGCGCAATATAGACAGGAACGTGAGCCAATAAGAATTAAGAGGGGTGGGTGCTGTGTTTTTGTTGACTTCCTGTATTAGAGAGTGAAATCAATAAACTGCCGCAGTGAACACTCAAATAGGAAGAGACAGCAGAAAGCAACAGAAAACGGTAATTTGCAAATAATTTGTCCTTTATTTTATGTAACGACTGTGAAAGGTAATCAATTACTAGAATAATGTGAATAAACAGAACAGTGATGTTAATCTGAGTAGAATAGAAGCAACCAGGGCTGCTGCTGTTCACAAGACTGCGGCATGTGATATCAATTACAAAAAAATCACACAGACACAGCCATAGCCCAGTTTCAGCTACTGACAAATCGCTAGAGATGGGAGGAAGCTCAACTCAGCATTTACGTTAATGGTTTGTTGGGTGGGTGGTTGGTTGGTTGGTTGTGTGTGTGTTTTTCCTTTGTGATTTACCTGCATGCGATGCTGTGGTCGTTCCCAAACACTTTATTTTGATACTTTCACTTTTAAAACGTCACAATTTGAGTTTGATGAAGATAAACACAGTATTAAGATAGGTTTTGACTGAATTCTTTGATGTCGACGATATGACGATATTTTAGGAAGTGACTACATTGCAGTCAACAGACGTTGCCATACACAACAACGTTTTGAGTCATGATCCTGGTCATTTTACTGAAGAATGTTTTTGAATAAGCTGTCAGTCAACTTGAGCTCACGAGCTTTGTGGGTTATCCAAAGTGACAGTGTTTTTGGAAAGATATGTTACTGTTGCCTTTATAGACAAGAAAATGCAAGTTTAGTTGTACAGCAGCTTTCACTAACAAGGTAGTTCACGTGGTGAATTGGTGTAAAACGCAGGTCTGTCTCACGAGCAACTCCACTTTGAGTTATACTCTAATATTATGTTTGGCAGCTGTGGTTAGTGGTCATCTCCCGTTCAAAAGGTTGCTGGTTTGATTCTTGGTTTCCCCAGTCCACATGTTGAAGTGCCCTTGGGCAAGATACTGAACCCTTAGTTGCACCTGTTGGCCAGGCAGCGACCAACAGCAGCACCATCAGTCAGAAAGTATAATAAAAGACATAAGAATGTTATAATATGTATAACATTATACCTTACAGTAAGAAAATGCCCATATGCAAATTTTCCTCATGTAATGGTGTTATACATTTACATATATTTTACCTGAGGTGGGGGAAAAAAGCAGCACTCTTGGCACAGCTTGATACCACAACAGGCAAGTGAGAAAAGTTGTGTGTCTGTGAAAACCAAATCCCAGATGATACCTGTCCTCCTCAATAAATAATTGTACCCTAACAATAACTGTTTATGTTCTGGTGAGACATAAAAACCTGTTTCTTTGCAGTGGTTGTAGGTGTCTTGATGGATGAAACCTCCAAGAAGCACAGATAAAGGGGTGGAGTTTAGAGATTGTGGCATTAACAGACCAAACATGGTGCACGTCTACAACTGCCACCCTTTTGCCTCACAGCAGATAGTACAGGTAAAAGGAGCCTGGCTGAGCCTGATTCAAAGCATGCCTGCCTTTTCTTTTAATGATAATCACCATTAGTTAGCCGTATTTTGTTGTTGTGTGTCTGTAAGTAGCAGGTCTTGATTACCTACCTTCCTTCTCTGTGGCCCAGGTGGAGCAGGAGCCTGGACTGGTCTCCTGTGGAGGTGGAGCATTGTTTGTAGTGGCTACTGGAGGATGCAAGGTTGCTGATATCTATGCATATATTTACTGAAAAGTCTGCCCTGCATGCTTTCTTTCTTCCTATGTTGTCTTGTTATATAGATACAGAATAACCAAGAAAATGGGGAGGTGTGAATGATTAGTTTTTGAAGACCAGTCACTCTATATATATTGAGATTTTTGAAGACCAGTCACTCTATATATATATTGAGATAAAAAAAATCACTGACTGAGCTGCCTTTCATTAAATGTCTTCAATGTTGTGAGGATAGTTGTCAATCAGAGCATTCATAGTCTTAATTCAATGAGGTGACAGTTTTCTGTAGGACACTGACTGTGCTGTATTGAACTGTTCTAAGGTGGAGGCCTACAGTCTGGAGCAGGAGGGCTGCCCTCTCATCTGTCGCTTTGCCACCATGGGCACTGTGAGGAGCATCCAGCACAGCAAGATAGGTGAAACAGCTCACCTGTTCCTTTGTCATCCTCCTTCTCTGCAACAGCAACTACACACATACTGAAATCCACCTGTAGCAATTTATCTGTTTCTTTTTTTTTCTTTTATATATGATCAGGGCAGCTGCTAGCAGAAGTGATTACAGTGTGATATAGAGAGTGAAAGGGGTCAGCAACAAAAAAAGGAACAAACTTTTAACACCCTTGCCTTCCTTTTCATGTCACCCTGACATCCAGGAGATTACCTGGTGACCACTGAGGAGAAGAACGGTGCCGCATACCTGCGAGCATACACCAACTGGCGCCATCAGGTACACACTGAGCAGCTGACCCTTTTCACAAATACTTTATCACAGTACTAGAGATGGGCGATGGAATGATGCCGTCGCCGATGGCTGACAGGCATCACGATGGTGTTTCTGGTTAAAATGACGACCAGGAGGGTCATACCAGCTGTCGCTAACTCACGTTAACTGATGGACTTAAACTTAAACTGATGAAAGGACAAAATGAAACTGGCTGTCGTTGGGCCTGTGACCTTTTGTGGCTGTTAATGAGGTAAAGAGCCATCACTCTGTAACACCACTGAATAATTAGAGAGAACTGAGTGAGTCTCTGTAGTTTCAACAACTCCAACAGAGTGAGACATTATTAGTGGTAAGACTATCAGCTGATCTATGTACCATGGGAATGTGGCATATTCTGCTGGATAGTGTATAGGCAAATGGTCATGAAGACCTGTTGTCTGTCAGCATGTATTTTATGTATATTTTTGTTGCTCTTCATCCAGGTGCAGGAGAATGCCCGTGTTGGGGTGCGTTTGTTAGGCCACCTGCTGGGTGGAGCATCTGTGCGGGGTGGAGTACAGATGGAGATCATTGAGATCCCTCTGTCAGAGCGTCCGGTTGCTGTGGCATGTTGCCCAGTGACTGGAGACCTTCTGGTCGGCTGTGAGAGAGCTCTGGTTCTGTTTGCATTAAGGAGACAGGACCAACAGAACCTGGTAAGAATTCAGCTGCTGATGTCAGACTTCACCTCCTCTGTGGAGCTTATTAAATGACTTTAATTTAAAGACACGATGAAAAGACAGTTACTACTTTGCCTACCAATTCAGCTTGAATTCAATTTACTGTTTTGTTGAAGTGACAGTTTTTCAGGACATCACTACATCTTTAAAGGCCTCAAAAACTATTAAAATATCAAATGTGATCTTATTTTTCGCCAGATTTATTTCTCATTTTACCATGTTTGCCTTCATTTTATGATACTTGCTGGCATAATGTTTCTTTCTCTGGAAAACAGAAACAGATAAATCAGAGTCAGCAGGACCTCGGCAGCCCCTGCCCAAACACTCAGCAAAGCTCCAGTCAGAGCCAAGGTAACTCAAGGAAAGTATTGTAACACAGAGCTGTGATCATATAACCACATTTTGAGACAAACACCAAACATTCTGGTTACAACCTTCAGAAGAAAAACTCGTGAAGAAGGATGTCCCATGATGCACACTGTTCATGTGCATCATACTGTATGCGTATGGGTCCTCACATAGAAAACAGCTTTCAAGAATAAAGGACAAAATCAGTTCTCTAAAGTACTTCAACCATTCAATCATTGCATCTAACTACCTGTATCTTTACTGGTCCCATCACTGATCATTGGTCACTATTTTCATACTTACCAGTGACCACTGTGCTTGTAAATGATGTGTGTACTGCATGGTTAGTGGTGAGTGAACTACAGGGCTGTGATGAAAGAAAAGCTTCTACAGTTTCCTGCTCTGACTAATCTGTCCTTTCTTGCTCTTAGGTCAAACCTCAAGTTCAAACCAAAATGTGTCCTTCCTGGATTTTGAACGTTCCGTCATCCTACATTTGTCAAAATTTATGCCCAAACGGGTACTTCACTGTTCTTCATGTTTTCTTTTTTACTTTTCATTGTAACTTCTTCATAGTTCAATCTATTTATATACATAGTAGCTCTGTTCTGGGTTTTGGTTTCTGCTGTTCAGTATGTGCATAATAACTGAAGAAGGTGTAGCCCCTGATAAACAGGCATTATAATTGCGCCCTGGGCCTTTCCCTTCCCCCCCCCCCCCCGATACTATCATATGAATACGGCTAAAACGTCAGTCCTATATCCACACTGTTTCCAGTCAACAACTTTTCACAGAAATTTTTTAAACAACAAAGTGTAGACAGAGGGAAAATCCTAAACAGTTCTCAGTGTTTTTTGTTTTGGCATCTCTACATTTCAGACTATTAAAAGTCTGTGGGCTTGTTTCCTTTCACATCTCCATCCCCTCAGGTGGCGCTGTGTGCAGGTTATGTGGCAGTGCAGGCAGAGCTGGAGGTGCTGGTGCTAAAACTGGATGCTTCCTCTGAACATGAAACCATGGAAGAATCACCAGACACATATAAAAGTGGTAACAACACACACAGCCTTGTCAGTTTGCTGCCTTCCTCAATGCTTGATATCATTTCTGTGTGATAAAAAGCATGGCTACACCATCTGTGACTTACCTTTAGGTTTTTGAAAGGGTGCACTGAGGTTTGGATTTGGGCTCCTGACTCAGACCATCCAAATCTGGGTCAAAAGAGAAGAAGCCCAGTTGGGCATGAAAAGTAGTGACATCACATCTGACTGTGATCTGGCTGAAACACTTGTGAATTAGGAAGATGCGCCCAAAAATACACCAAATTGATCATAATGTTTCTCAAAATTGTCACTTGGCGCTGTTTGTTTTTCTGTATTTTAAAGGAAAGGAACCACATAAGAAAAATATAAGTAGGTGTTTTAACCTGATTTACACCTGGATGGATGGGGATAAGGAAAACTTGTTAGGTTTCAGTGTGGTGAACGTTGAAGATGTGTTTGTGTATTTGTGTGTGCAGCAGATTATGTTGAAGACCAGACTGACTTTCTGCTCATTCAAAGACATCAGGAGTTGCTTGGTGATCGAGCTAAAGACTGTGACGTCCCTGTCAGCATTGAAAAAACTTTGCTGGAGGACCAAAGACAATACACAGTATCATATGTCCTTTTCAGGTATGTGTACGTCAGATCTTTACAGCGAGAATAGTTCTGTCAGTTGTAGTACATTTATCCTGTGTCATTTCTGTCCTGCAGGCGTTTTACTCCAGAGTTCTTCCAGGGCTGCAGCGTGGAGGAGACTCAGCTCCATTCCTTACAGCTCTACCCACTGTTCACAAGTGAGTACAACATGTGAGAGGCAGACTTTGTTGCTACAGGAAGTTACTTACTGAAAAAGTTTCAAAATCTTTAAACAAAATAGAAAAATGCAGGACTGAAATAGCTGTTTTGTACATCTTTCTACTGATATCTCCTTCTCCAGGTACCCAGTCGGTGTCTCTGGAAAAACCAGCCTGTGTGTTCTGCTTCTTCTCCCTCCCCACCGCCGGCTACTTGTACAGTTTGAAGGGTGGAGTCGAGCTGCTCTCAGCCTATCAGTATCCAGAGAAGGTCCTGGAGGCGGTGCTAACAGACCACCTGTTGCATGTCATAACCAGGTATGTCTGTAGTCGGATTTGACACAGAAACCTTTTAATCTTGAATGAATCAAAGATTTGCATGGAAATTTGTCTTCAGAACCATACTTACAGAAGTACAAGATGTTGGGTTTGACAAGTCATTTAGCTTAACAAGTCCTCTGGAATTTTGACTGTATATATTATGTTTTTCATCAAAACTAAACATGAAGATCTGTTGTAACAAAACCTATTTTCAAGCTATTATTACCAGCTTATTACAATTCTGATTATATATTAACATTAGCTGTTTTTATGTGATCTTGTGAGAGATCCTTGTACTTTATGTCTTCAACCTTAGTGTGAAGATTTCTGGATGGAAAATGAGTAAGTGTATTTTTTCTGTGTGTGCTATGAAGGAGTGCGTTGCAGTGTTACACAGTGCGCTGTGCAGCAGTAGCAGCCAGGATTGAAGACCCCTACATTGACACAACCATGAAGGTAAGAGCCTGATTACTAATAACGGACCCTAGAACCTTTCTGTGTCTGCTTTTTGTTACTTTTGTGGGGTTTACAGCAAAGTGACTGTATAGTTCAGTCTCACTGCTTCGCTGGCCATCCATCCATTATCTATACCGCTTATTCTTGAATCGGGTCGTAGGGGGGCCTGGAGCCCTCTACCTACCTTTAGATATTTGGTAGGTAGAGGACATAACTAAATATTTGCCTCTTTACAAGTGCACTTGCATGTTGCATTATGTTCACTATCAATATGTCTATCTTTGATTATCACTGCACATTATGTATCTTTAAATAATTTTGTATTATATGTCTGTGCATCTTCCTGTGTGTGTGTGTTTGTTTGAAGGCCTGTCCACCATGCAGCCTTGAGGTGTGTGCGCTCAGGATGCAGCTGTTTATCGGTTTGCAGTCAGTGTGTGTGTATGGCCGCCATGTTGTCTTGCTCTCCTCAGCTGACACAGAGACACCTGAGGAGACTGAACGCAGCACACAGCGCCGGGGCCTGTAAGTCTCACACACACACACACGTAAAGACAAAATATATGAGCATCAACACACAACATTGATACAGTATTAACGATTAACATTTCAGTTTTAGGTTACGTGTTACAGCGTAGATTCAATGCCATAAATCAAGCTTCAGACTGTACACAGGAGACAAGTCGGTGCTACACTGCACCTAACACGTTTGCATTTGTACTCATTGTCTTTTTGTGTTCACAGTGATGTCATAAAACATCAGCCTGCTGATTTTGAGATTAGCAAGATACAGTATCTCTGTGAAATAAGAGGATTTAGCTCATGTTTCTGTACAGTATGATGATATGTCTCGTTCCCCCTCTGTGTACCTTCTGACCTCAGGAGCAGGAAGTGGACAGTCTCTTCTGTCAAAGAAACCAGTGCAGCAGGACATGGCTGGAATCTGTATGTGGTCGACACCGTCTCTCCCCTCACTCTCTACCAAGAGATGGTAACACAGACATGACCTTTTACAGTTTTACAAAAATCAGCTTAATCTGAATGCCTGTTCTTGTAGTTGTGTACTTGCTTTTTATTCTACTCTATATTTATGTGCACAATTACTAACTATGATCATGAGACAGCAAAGAATAAAACCATAGCAAAAAACATTGAACTTGTATGAAAATGAAAAAAAACTCATACAAATGAAAAGTAGACAAAAGGATTCAGCTGGCACATGCATCTGTAGTACACTGTAACTACACTGCATACCTGTTCAGATGAATTTATCGGTAACAAGTACTTTGAAATTGCACTTTCTCTTATTTTTGTTTTCTACCAACTTTTTAATAGATTTTCTGTTTTTTCATTTCATCATTTTAGTGTGAAGACCTGTCAGTACTAAGACACAAACAGTAAACCCTTGAAATTAAGTTAATCAGGAATGAGTAGATAAGTTATTGTCTTATTGAATCTTTGTATATTGATGAGCCTGTGCAGTCATCTGTGTGCCTGTATGTGTGTCTCAGGTTGAATACAGCCAGCGGTATGTAGAGACCGACCCACAGAACCGAAGCCTTCGACACCTCCTCGGTGAAGCTCACCTCCTCCTTCGCGCCTCTTTACTCCAAACATCAGGGCAGCTTCAGAACAGTGAGGGTGACCCCACAGAGCCTCTGCAGACAAAAGCAGACAGACAGACAGACAGACAAGAACTGGAGGAGGCATTCAGGCAGAACTGTGCACAGCTGGGAGACTCTTTCAGCAGGTAACCTGCACAGACTTGTAATGGAAGACCAAGTTTATATTTAGTTTCTCTTACATTTCTATTGATTGTGTATAAAGTCTCTTGAATTCTGTTCTGTTTTAGGCTGCAAGTAACTACAGTATTATTCTCATTACTGAATAATTAAGTGAAAAAATGCACATCACAGTTTCCTAGCGCTCAAGGTGACATCTTCAAATTGCTATTTCCTATTCTGTCCTGTGTGTTAGGGGCAGGCAGAAAGAATGCCACCTGGCTTTGCCATACTACAGGATGTCTGGTCTGTCAGTGACAGAGGTCATGTCCAGGAACCGCCCGCTTCCCAGCAGCCCTCACTCCTACGGACCCGGCTTTCTGTTTTACCTAAAACATTACCTGTTAGAAGAAACAGAACAGATCCTGAGTCAGGTACATAAAATAATACTGTTATCCTCTACTTATTTCTTCAGAAGGCAGCTAAATAAAGATGTGAGTGACCTAAAATTACCTCATCTTTACTGAGAATAGCAAGCCACTGTGCACTTTATTTTCTATACATGTCATTTATTAAACCCAAGTACTTTTATAGCTGTTATTTTCTTTGTTGTGTAGTATCAAAATGAAATATTATAAAGTAAAACAAAAAGGAGACAAAAATAGAAATGACAAATAACATTCCTACCTTACAGGAATCAGCTGATGAGGTCATTGACATTTTCAGCCAATCAGAGCCCTCAGAGCTCATCAGCGTGTGCGCCAGTCCCTGTATGATAAACGTCAGTCCTGCCCGGACGCTGCAAGTTTTACAACAACTGGAAGAGACAGCTGGTGTTTCGGTTCCACTGACAATCACCATGGCAGCCATGACGCTGCATATGGACGACCTGCCACAGTACACGCAGCTGATGGAGAGACACTCTGAGGTTAGAGGGGATGGGGTGTGGAGGAGTGTTGTCACCTGCACGAAGAAGCTGAAATCAGGGTTTTTTCTTTAACTGCATGTATCTTGTATTTGCTCACTTTTTTAATAGAAAATTCTCTTTAAATTTTTATTGGTGTCATGGTTGACTCTTAAAGGATGTAGCAACACACACAGCCTCATATAAGATTCTTCAACAACTTTTCTGAGCTGTAGTGGAGGATAGCGCACTGGTGCAGAATTGCAGAAATGTTAATAATGTTAACACTGTTTTCTTTGTTTTTCTCCACCCATCCCATTTTGCAAGCAGCAGGCATCAGATACCTTGCCGTCTCACAAACTGTGCAACTGTGTTTTTCATTCTGCCTGTGTGTACAGTGTGGTGCTGCTGTGCCATGTTATTTAATTTTTTTTTGGAGTTGATATGATTTATTCCTCTAGTGCCAAGAGACAATAAATGAATATTTGTGAACATATAGAGGTAAACCAGGGGACTGAAGACTCCTAATACTAGTAGGATGTTCAGTCCATTGTTTGTCGTGTGTGTGTTTTTAGATGCTGCTGGTGTATGGGTTCATAAAGGAACCGAGACTGCTGCTTCATGGTGGAGGTGGAGGCCAGTACACATGCATCCGTCCTACATCGTTGAGTCGACAGCTGACAAAGACTCAGCCAGGACTGCTGGTGGCTGCTATGGTGGCTCTGCATGAAAACAACAAAGTTCAGCTTGAGCAGGCTGATGTCATATTCAAGGTTTGTATGTCAAACCGATTTCTTACATTAGTTATTTGTCTTGAATTGAAGATAATCAGAAAAATGCTTATGAGCTTATGAGATGATTTAAAATCAGGTGTCTTCATTTTGTACATTTTGATCAAAACTACATGGAGGATCCTGCAAAGGACGGCAGTAAAAGTGTGTCTGTGTGTTTAGGGGCTGGGCTGTGAGAACTGCTTACAGGTGGATTTCTGGGAAGCAATGGTCATGGCCTCTTCACAGGAAGCTGTCATCCAGGAGCTTCTGTTCCGATTAGCATCGGTTTACATTGACCGACTGATGAACTCAAACTCAGATACACACCCTCCACACACACCTTCAAAGTGCAGGTCACTGAAGAGCGCTGACGACCTGGTACAGTTTCTGCTTTTGTCTTTGGTAGAAAATTGTTCACCTGTATTTTGTTTAATAACCACTTGCATCTCTTTCCAAATATTTTTTATACGCTGAACCAAAGCCAGAGCACGTTTAAAATATATTGGAAAATGTCTAAGCTTGTTAATTCAAATGCCATCGTTTCTCCAAAGGACTTTTTGTTGGTACAAGATTTCTTCTGGAATCTAGTAAAATGATTTGTGATATTTTACTGATCTGTTCACAAAATGATCATTGATCTAAAATATTATGATATTCAGAAATCAATGAATGTGGACGTCACTCTTATTTACTAAGATGTCGGCGCGTTTGTGTTTCTCAGATCAACTCGTGCTCCCATTATGGTGCTCTGTACCCATGGCTCAGTGTTCTCAGTACAGCACACACTAGCAGCTCCCAACAGCAGGAGGCATTACACAAACTGCAGGTAATTTGTCAGTGAAAAAAATCAGTCCACCTTTATTTGACACAGATAAGTTGCTTTAGTAACTATTTATCCCTCAGTGCAAGCGGGTGCGGCTATGTCGCGTTCCATCTGCATGAATCTATGCATAAACCTGTGTAACTATTCGTGCACATATGCACAAAATGAACTTGATGGATTTTGACCATATTTGCTTTATATCTGTGACTCTGCAGGCTCTCCTGTGTGGTCCCTCTCTGTCTGTGGGCTCTGTCATGCCCCTGCTGGAGCGTCTGTCAGAGGAAACCTTGTGGGGCTTCAGCCTGCACCTCCTCTGTGCTACCAGAAGGGGGCAGTACCACAGCAGCATAGAAAAGCTGCTGGACAGATGTCCTCAGGCCATCATAGCCTACGCCAACCACCAGTTACAAGACAAAAATATGGTCTGTACTGAGCAGTAGCCTAAAATGTGAAATGTGTATCCTGTTATCTCTGTATCATGACTCTATATTTAGCTTTGGTTTTTATAACCAGATTTTTACTTCTGGTCCACAGGCGTTATGGTGGCAGAAGCTACTCCCAGAGCTTTGTGACCGGCTGAGAGCTGCCTTTGATAACGCCATCCTATTGGCTGCACTTACAGGTAGAAACAGGGTCGAAATTAACTTTTTGACTCACCGGCTAAGGTGGCTGGTAGATGGGAGGGAAAAAAATCCACTGGCCAAAGATATTTTTACAGGCCAAAATATTCAATTGCCTTTTTATTTCACATACACATTTGCTTCAGGATTTCTGTGAGATAATAAGGTTTTATGTTGAATAGAAATGTAAAGAGGCCAGAGCATTATTATTTTAATTGCCTATATCAATCAGCAGTTTATAAATTCATTAAATTAATTTTTAAATTAAAATTTAAAAGCCACAGTACAATTAAAGAAATCTTGATTGCAAACTATATGCACTTAAGTCTACTTCAGGGGCCATCAGAAGAAGTTTGAAGTTATGTATAAACCCATTAGATTCTTAAACATTTGAACCAACTTAAAGCTCCTCCTGAGACACCTCACCTCAAGTCCTCAGAATTTGAGGCATGCACACACACATGCCCATGTTCTGTAGGGACCCACTGCTATGCCGCTTCTTAATGACTGGTTATGATCAGAAAAAAAAAAATTAATTTTGTTTAATATCTGGGTTTAATTTGACTCATTTCTATGCCAACAGAGACTCTGGTCGTGGTTTCCATGGAGACCAGCCCTGCAGAGTTCTTGGAGCTAATACCTGATGATGGCATGGCCTCGTACTTTCTGCCTCACCTGCTGACATGTAGCAACAGACACCTGCAGGCCTGAGACACACACATATACATTTACATGAATTCACAGTTCTCATGTGACGTCACATCCCTGTAGGACCACCCGCCTGGAGGGCAACACAATCACATAAAATCCTTCCCGCAGGGTTGTGCCAGGTTGTGGCTGTGTCTATTTGTGTTTTAGAAGGCAGCCGTCCTGAAACAGTCTGAAAACTGCGTTTTATTTCTCTGTTTCACTGCTCTGTTTTCCTAGCACCACTCCTCATCATTCACTAGCTTGCTCAACTACCGTTGACCTCTCTCTCTCTCTCTCTCTCTCTCTCTCTCTCTCTCTCTCTCTCTCTCTCTCTCTCGGTGGAGTAGATTTATTACACAGGCAGTGAAATTTGGGCACAAAGATTATAAACATTTCTATGAACCAATAGAATCACTAGGAAGTTAACAGACCCGTGCTGCATTTCTGTCGAGTGTTTGGTGTTAGTCGCCATGTGGGAAGGGTTTTTTCCTTCCAGGGCTTTGTGGCAGTCACATAACTGCAAACTGTGGATAGGCAAAGACAAACAAATCAGTTTCACACATCCAGACCAATGCTCAGACCAGATGTAGGCTAATGTTGGTCACTGTACTGTTGCACAAGAGCAGGTTCAGTGTTTTGTTCACGGGACCTTCAGTTGTGGTTGTTGAGGATGTTTCACTCTGGCCACAACAAACACCTCACTGTAGCTCTCTAACTTCTATGCTATGACTAGCGCTTTGTCCGCAGACAATCCTGTACAGGTTTTACATGTTTATGAAGCACTTTATGAACTTATTGTGAGAATTAAACAAATATAATTGCAAACTGAAGTGTCCTGTTTTTTTTTTTTTAGCTTACAAAGTAGATATAAAATATTCAGGAAACACAAGGACAGGCTTAGGGTACTATATATATTGAAGGTTATAAAGAGTAGATATGAATCATAGAAAATAGCTTTAGGTCCCCAACCAAGGTCATGTTCCTGGGAGCTAAACATTCCGCCTTTTATTTCGAGTGTGCTGTGTTTTTTTCCTGGATTTTTAGTTTTGCTTTGACAGTCTGACGTAATCACCTTTGGGTTGAAGTTTTCATGTTGCTATTGGATTCATTATCATTTGCACACAATACATAGTAGTACTTATTCTTCCCAAACAATTCAACCTTAGTTTCATTAGTCCACAAAGCATTTCCCAGTAGCATTGTGGAGTGTCAGTGTCCTTTAGCAAACTTCAGCCCATGTAACCATAAACCATAATTTACGGAGTCATCTTAGCTGGATGCTGGGAGTGTAAACTGGCTCCATTCATAGACAGTTTGTGTAACTGGACTGATGAATATCGAAACCTTAAGCCTTTCCAGGTTTGTGCAAAAAAAGCGGCTCGGACGTCTTCTGAGGTCTTTTTATTGCATTGTGTGGTTCACATCAGTAGCTGCTTCTTGTGAATGACAAACTCAAAATGTTTGAATGTTTCTATGAGCCAGCGTGGCTCTAACCCATTTCAGTGGTTAAACTACAGTCTTGTGAACTCGACTCCACTTAGCCTTTAATGTCATGTGAAAAAGTTCTTTCTCAAAACTCTGACTCATTTCTGTTTGATTAAATTAACAGGGTAGGTATCCAGTTTCTGCCCACAGCACAGTATGAAGGCAAATGCTTCTGCAAGACAAAGGTCTCTTGTGTTGCTGCTTCGACTGATTGACATTGATTACAGACATCAGCGTGTGGTCTTGTTATGTCAATAGTCTCACCAGAGAAATTAGGTCTGGTTTTAGACAAACACTTCTCAGTGTTGACTTTGTGCTCACTGCAGTAAAAAATGGTTAGATAATAACTTGCTGTTATCTGAGCTTCTTCTGAGTCTACAAAGTTAAGAAGTAATATGTCAATATTGAAGTTTACATTTTTTAATCTGCTATTTGAGTAACAGTTTAAAAATGTCCTCTGCTTAACTTGAAAATTATAACTATATAGCACTTATCAAAAGTAAATGTAAAAAATGCTGTACAACAGAAAAAGGAACATGATGTGGAAAAAAGCAACAGATTAACAGAGGACAGTGCAAGTACAGAATGATAAAAGTGAAATAGGAAATTGCTGTCCTGTTTTTGGGAAACATAAATCCAGAATAAGATTTTGGGGAGCCTAAAGATCTCAATTTCTTCATGAAATCTGTATTTTAATTTCTATAATTTAGTATTTTGGGTGGGATTAATTGGAATGGTGTTGTCACTTAAAAGTGACTTAATCATTAGATTGATTAAACAAATTAG